AGGAAGGAAGGTAGGAAGGAAGGTAGGAAGGAAGGTAGGAAGGAAGGTAGGAAGGAAGGTAGGAAGGAAGGTAGGAAGGAAGGTAGGAAGGAAGGAGAATCGAGTGAGGGGCAGATTAGATTGAAGGAGGGTGCGTGCAACAGAGTGGTGGGGTTGTTTGGAGTCTTGGAGGTGCCTTCCTGATCTGAGATCCACAGGCAGGCAGGCAGGCATGAGCTCATCCATCGTAGGTCGAATCGGACTTCTGCTATTACCTCAGTAGCTACCTAGAGTATTGAAGCCAAGCCTCACACCGACCGACCGAGATAGATCTAGAATCAAATGCATGCACCACACTGCACTGCACAGGCTACTTACTACACAGCCAACTACTGGGCACACGGTACACCGGAGTTTTTTCACTAATGGATCAGCTCCACAAAACGCATCCATCTAGACTCCTCCTCTTCCTCCTCCCCGGGAACAAGACAAGGTTGCAGTTGCAAAATCGACCTGTGGGGAACGACCGAAGGAAAAGTGACATCCATCGTCGAAGTGACATCGTGTGTGTGTGTGTGTATGTGAGCGCGCATTCATTATCAATAAGCGATTCATGAAGAGCAGGAGGTCCACGGTAACTGTACTGTACCGGCTGGTACCGCTCTCCCCGCTATTTCAACACTTACCTGCCTACTTACTATTGCTACGAAGCTACTACTTACTACTGCTAATTACTGCTACTACTGGTGCGGCGGCACACGAGCAGGCTCCAGAGACGGTGTAGTGCGATTGATAGTAGGCGTTGACGGTTGAGAGGGGGGGACTCGAGCGTGCAACGTACGTAAGCGACAAGGCGCGGAGCAGCCTCATTCATCCAAAGATCCATAGCACGACCCGAAGTGGGTCAGCGACTCAACCGGCGGCGGCTGCTATTATGCCGGGATTCGTTCTCACTACAGATAATCAGATGCATGCGACGGTATCTTCTTCAGTTGGAGGAGGTGCTGGTGGCGAGGTGGCAGTGATTTCTGGAGCACTCATGATGGGCTCTAGTAGAATGGGTAAGAGTGAAAGTATTACAATGGGTAAGAGTGAAAGTTGATAAGTTGTACAGTCTACAGTAGCAGATGGGAGATGGTATCTTGTGATTAGGTATCAGGCGGCATTCCGTTGTTTGTTGATGATGTTATGGCAGCGCGAACCTGCCCCAACCCCGGAAGTCTTGCCTCAGCCACGAACATTGTCTGTCACATGATATCACAGGGGAACTTCAGGACAGCATTGTGGCTAGTGAGCGACGTGGCTGTGGCTTGGGACGGGCACGAGACCTGCTGCTGCTGCCTTGTTGCCTGGCTGCCCTTCGTCGATGGTCGTTCGCCTATTCACGGCTTTTTTCTGCATCGCCGGGTCGGGCGTGGTGACTAACAGATATGATGGGAAGGAGTGGCCGGCGGTTTAAAATACAGCGCCGCGATTGGTCGAGAAGTCGTCACTGATAAGAGGACAGATTAGCGTTGCCAAGAATCCCTGCATACTTGGCGTCACCTGCAGGGATGACTTAGTAGCAGCCGGAGCCGGAGCCGTTGGGAAGGAAGGAAGGAAGGGAAGAACGGTCGTGGCTGCCGCCTATTGTCACTTGCATGTAATCAATCATCCATTCTGCCTTGTTATTATATCCTCCTATCTACTATCACCAGTTGAGCGTAGGGAGGAGACGGTGAGAGTTCCATGCAGCAATTAAATCCTCCTATCTCGGAACTGTAGACTTGGACTGACTGACTGACTGACTGACCTTCTGTTCGTTGCATCATCATCATGCCATAATTAATTACTTTTACCTCACTATGGAGCGGACACAATGCCGAAGAGTGCCAGAGTGCAGAAAAGAAAAAAGAGGCCAGTCTGGTTGGAGCAATTACTACTGTCAGATGGGGCCCAGTGGAGAATTAGTGTCGCCGCAATAACCATCCGTGCGCGTGCCGAGTCTAACCCTTCACACTTCCGCAGTGAAGAGAGAGTGAGGGAGTGAGTGTAGTATAGTATGTGTGTGTGTGTGAGAGTGAGGGATTGACGGAGAGAGTGGCGGCCCAAAGCACTAATTGCTGTAGCGGCCGGAGAGGGGAGGAACTGTTAATAATTAATTACTGCCCATATCCTACTCAACTTTACTCCTCCTCCTCTACTACTCGACTGTCTCGTGCCTCTAATTATCTTCACCACCACCACCACAACATCATCATCAACAGTAATATAACTCGTCTCTTTAACTCTCGACTCTCGCCTTGACCGCCGCCACCGCCTGACTGCTCTCACCGCGCCCCCCAAACAGAAACGTCCGGCGACGACGACTAGGTGACACGAGCCACACTTCTTATCGCTGCCAGGCCCTGCACGTCAGCCATCGCGCTGCCAATCGCCGTACGAGCCTGACACCGCATCCCGAGCCTCCTCCTCCTCCTGCAATACAACTCGACTCTCTCCTCTCACAGGATCCACTCCCTCCCTACCACTCTCTCCCTTACTCCTACAACCACAACCTACCGCCGCTGGGATTCCCTATCCGGTCTGTTATCTTGCCCTTCACAGACCGCTACATCCAAACCCGGCGACATCCTCCTGTCCCTATCTCTCGTACCACACACCACCCTCCTCCTCAATCTCCGCTGCCCCGGGCCTCAGATTCCATCTTCGCACTGCTCCACCTCAGCGCGTTAAATACGCCAAACTCCTCCGCCTTCTCCCTACCCACCGGTTCGGGTCTGCCTCGACATCCTCTTGGCAACCAGTACACAATCACCACACCGACCAGCTCTTCCTCCAACACCTCGCCCCAGACATGGCTGCCACCCAGAGCATGCCGTACACGGCCGTGTTCGACCGCAACAACTACACCCAAGACTTTTCGCAGAATCCTCACATCCAGAGCATGAAGAATCCCGATGCGCCGCTCTACCACCCCACCACAAACCAGCGCCATAACCTCCCGCCACTCCACGTCTCCTACATGCCAGAGCGCAACCACATCAACGTCATCGATCGTCAGCAAGCTCGCTCGCGACAGCTGCGCTCGCCAAAGAGTCCCATGTACGTTCCGGCTGTGCTGCGTCCGACCGAGAAGCCGCAGCGTCAGTCTCCGCCAAAAGGTGTCGACTCAGCTGCTGGGACTTGGGATGGGAACAATGGCGATGAGCCCGTCAACTGTCTCCAGAATGGCATTACACGCGTCGAGACTGAGGATCTCAGCGATGACGGCCCGCAGAGCGCGACTGGAAGTCCCTCAACCAACCACTGGAAGGTAAGTGAATATCGTCAGTCTCTTTGTTGGTGGAGAAGTCAAGTCGACGTGGAAAGTCTTGAAAGTCTTCTGTGTACTTCATGCAGTGAGAAGCAATACCTGGCGAGGCTGCCAAGTATATAAGCATCTGGAAGGTGCTCACGCCTGTCCGGGTGTCAATGGCGCAATTGACAAACTGCGTCCGCGGCTGCCTACTCCTACCTTTGTGCAATCGCCCCACTTTAGCACCTGATTGTTCTCTTTTTGTCTTCATGATCTGATATTACTTATGAATTGATGGATGAATACAAAGCTAACATGTCTGCAGCCTGACCACACCGCCACCTCGTGCACTGCATCCTCTTGCCAGCGCGACTTTGGCTTCTTCGTCCGCCGCCACCACTGTCGCCGCTGTGGAAACATCTACTGCTGGGAACACATCAAGAACCAGGCTCCCCTCAACCAGTACGCCCTCATTCACAGCTCTGGCCAACAGTCCAAGGTCTGCGACCGCTGCTACTCCATCTACAAGCAGTGGAAGGCTCGACGCTTGAGCCGCACCGACTCCGACAGCTCTACCCAGTCCAGCCCCGCGCTCACCATCGCCCAGCCTCAGCCATCTGCCGCCTCTACCACCGCTACCAACAACATCAACGTCGGAAGCATTCCTGGCAGCGTCGGCGGCTACAACTGGAGCACCTTCTAAGTCGGCCTGGCCTGGCCTGGTCTGACATACGAATTTCTTTACACTTACTATGATACCACTGCATCGAGCCTCGGTATAGGCTCTGGCGTCTACACGGCCTGACGTCGCGTCCCATGACGCATCGTCTATTATACTTGCTTGCTTGCTTGACTTGACTTGACTTGACTTGCCCTACAAGCACGGAGTTTTTCGGGGATTTATCTGGTTTCGGCTCACATAGAACTGATACACACACACGCGCGCGATGCGCAACATCTTTGCCTTTTTACGGATCTGACCACTCACTCTCAAGGAGGTAGAGATGGATGATGATACGGGGCCAGCACTGGCACGGGCCCGGCCTGTAATGCGCTGCTTTTAATTCGGAATTGGGGGGACACTTTGCGATCAGCCTGTGCTTCCTGCACTTTCAAGACTAGGCGCGAACGACAAGACACCCCAAGGCTTTCTATAGTCTGCTTAATTGAGGGATCTGAAAGACGTGGCCAGCTAGTAAGTAGTAGTGGTAGTAGATGTAGTAAACGTAGTATAATCAATCAAACGAAATTCATTATGGAATTTTTTATTCTTCTTTTCATATTTGTTTTTCAACCAATCAATCAATCAACAAGTAAGAGCCTGGGTTTGGCCTGCGTTGTGTGCGTGTGATGTAACGTGACCTGAGTGTGACTGGCGAAATTGTGTAGGACCTCAGGAAGCAAAAGCAGTGACGTCGAAATTCGTTGTTGTTGACACCGTATCGGGGGGGGGAGGGGGCTTCTTTTTTCTCGAGTGTTGTTTGCCTTGGATTACTTTCTAGGTGCCTTATTAGGTGGGTTGGACGAAGCTAAGCTAAGGTAGGTAGGTAGGTAGACCGTAGGTAGGCCTTGATGAGGATGATGGATTAGATTAGATTAGATTAGATTAGCATGAGTAAGATTAGATTAGATGGGATGGGATAGAGTAAGATTAGATCGTTTCAGATCATAGAGAATTAGATTAGATTAGATTATATAAGATTTAAAAAAAAGTACTATTAATATCTATCGAAGAGGGCGAACGAATAAGTAAAGGGATATGATAAGTAAACTACTACTAGCCGTACTACTATATATAAAATATCTCCTGTATTATTATCTTTTTTCATACCATGTTATTCATTTATTCGTTCATTCATTCATTCGTTTATTCCCCCTTGATATACTTTTCTATCTTTCTTTCTTTCCTCTTATCTTTGTACTACGTAGCTATCTTTAGTAGTCTTATTACCTCTTCTCTCCCGATTACTATTATAACCTTCTTAATACACTTGTCGCGTTCTTATGGATTTTCAGTTATATAATATATATATATACTCTAACCCAGACTTCCTATCAATCAGTTCAACTTCAATTCGACCGCCTCAAGAACTGGTCAGTCCAGTTCAGTTGAAGCCTCTTGCCAAGAACTGACGCTTCAGTTCAACTTCAATTTAAGATAGTATTGAACTGTAAATAATTGAACTGAACTGAAGTATATATATACTTAGTATATTCGTATATATATATGGGTAGACTATAGGTGGCCTAGGGTGTTAGGCATTAAGGCATACCGGAAAAATGATATTCCATTCCGAGCCGAGCTTATACCGCCGAGCTTATACCGCCGAGCTTATACTTGAAACTTCCGCTAAGTATTAATTAGTTACTTAACGTATATAGACGGTTTAGACGACTTAGCACTTAAATATACCTAAGTATACGTCTAGGTATACGAAAAGGTATATAAAAATGATCTATATAGCCTTAAATATACTATATTTTAACTATATTCACGATTTTCTTCGACTAATTAGTAATTACCTACTAAACTTCAGTTCAACTCAGTCAACTTCAATTCTACTACTAGAACTGACAGTCCAGTTCAAATATATAGTAGGGTAAACTGAAGTACTTCAGTTCAACTTCAAATATAGGCACAGAATTGAACTGATTGTTTGATAGGAAGTCTGCTCTAACCCGCCCTTAAAGACCTCGCGCTAGACATCTTTACAGGATAATACATACCATAATCATAATCATAATCATAATCATAGTCATATAACCCAGTCCATCTATCCTCTATCCTCTATCCTCTATCCTCTACTCGCTATATAAAGAGCACAAGAAGACAAGGGTACCCCCAACGTAGAACGCAAAAAGAGGCATGCATGCCATCATCTGATATACAACGCGCAAACGCGGCGCTTAATTAGTATATCAACACCAACGCCCCCTCGAAAAATCCCCTAAGGCAAAGTCAAGATATACATACATACAAACACCCCTTCTTTTCCTGTCCGAAACAGTTTTATCCCTGCTGCATCACTCCTGGGGCTTGCTATCCCCATGTCCAAGGCATCACGGCCCCCTTCCTCTCCAACCCCGTCTAGGTCCCGCACCTGCGCGCCTGTACGACGCGCTCTTTGCATCCTGGCATGTACGATCCGAGTCCTCGGTCCATCGGTCATCGTCGCGCAGCACACCCAGTTCTCATTGCAGCGCCTGAACAGTCACCGGGGTGATCATCCGGCCGGGAGGGTTTCAGAGTATGCGATGCTCGCGGGACTATGCGAGGGTTGCTGGCAATCTGATTGCCGTGTGGCAGTAGTGCTGGCGGAGGCATTGGTGTTGATGGTCTTGACTTACCCTCAAGGTGTTTCTTGGGTGGTAAGCTGGGTCGACTGTAGAATCTGGCTCATCGTAGGTCTGGGTATCTTCTTCCTCTTCGGAATCTGAGCTGGGCGTAATCAGCATCGTCGGGTCCTGAGCTGGGTGGTTCATAGTCGTTAGAGTCTGAGTCAGTCGGACATGTTGAACTTGTGTCTCTGACTTTAGATGTTCATTTATGGTTGATCGTTATAGTGGCTCTTCCTAGCTTCTAGCTTTGATCGCGTAGCTGCTTGTTCTACGGGAGCGAATAGCGCTGTTGTGGATTTTGACATATCTTTGTCCGTTTAGTTGTATCGCTTCCAGCGAGTGCTCGCATTATGAACGGAGCGGTGTGAACGTGTCGTGTCGTAGTTATTGCATACCATTCGGAGGATATTCCCTGAGGTGCGACGAGCCACTCCAAATTCCCAACTATTGACCACAGCACAGCCAATTCTCTCATGAACTGTGCCCCAATTTCCGCGGTTGACGTGTTACTAACGCGGCCGATAAGCCCGCTCATACCAGGCGATTAGCACTGGCATGCCCGTATCCGAATTATGCCAGAAGTGCGCACACCTTTGGCTCCGCTTGGAATAGCAAGTGATCCTGTCAAATGCTCGTAGGAAGCATCCGTCCGGTTGTAGGTTGGAATATGCATCTTTGAGCAGGGGTGACAGCCTACCGCCGAATTGAAGTTTAAGCTTTATCATAGTGTACGAGAGTCTGCGTTACTCATACTGCTTGTTGGTTGTTATTGTTGTTGATAGAAGAAGTGTCGTCCATGGCAGTGATGGACTAGCCATTTGGGCGAGGCAACGTATGGAAGATACAGAGCAATCAGCTAAAAAAGGTCATGGGAGGAGGTAAAGAGTTGACTGGAAAGAAGAAGCTGACGAATTTGTTATGACTCTGGTGAAGTGAGTGGGTTCGACAAGAAGTGGCAAGAAAGGGTTTCAATTGGCAATGTCAAACCGCGCGCTAAGCTGTCAAGCTGAAAGGATCGGAAGGCTGCTCATGAACCATGATGTTAGAAGTGAGATTGCACATCAAAACAGTTATAAAGAGGTCAGTGTGTGGGAAGAACAGGTAAATGGGAGAGATTGAGATGACTGGAAAAAATCGACATGACCAACCCCCCTTCCTCCTTTCCCCGTCACTCATATCTGACATAGGCCAGTACCAAGCATCCCGTTATACCTAACATCCAGCCCTCATCGCGAGAAACTCTATGGAAATCTCCATCATGTGACTGGCGGGCTTATTACTCCTAAGTCTCGTTCTCCTGAGGTCACTTCCACGGCGATACCTGGCTTCACAAGCATTTGCAACTCTCCACCCATAGCAAACACTACTTCACGCAGACCTCTCAACGCATCCTCAGCACTCTTTCTCCCAGCCCTCTCAACCTTCACCCTCTCCTCAGCACCCTTCCAAGCCTCTTCCTTGACACTCAAATTCTCCCTGAGAGTATTATTCAAGATGCCCAAGACATCCACCTTCTCCTCCAAATAGCCCAAGTCCAGATCCCTCTTCACCTTCTGAGCCTCCGCCGCACTCAGCATCACCTCTGCGCAACTCCATGCCGCCTTCACATTCTCCAGCTCCGCCCTAGCATCCCGCCTCTCCGCCTCCATCTGCTCATTCTCGATGATCGATTCGGTCAGCTCTCGCATGAGCTCCGACTTGGACTTCCGGGAGTCCCCTGCTTTGACGCTCCGTCTCATCACCGTGACAGCACAGGCACTATCCCTTCTTACAAACGCTGCTGGACCTGCTGGCATCGTGAGCTGTGAATTTCGAAATCGCTCTTTCGCTCGCGCGTGGGCTTGGTCGCTTATCAGACTTTCGATCGACATGTACATCTCGGTCCAGGCGTTTGCGCTCCAGTCTTCGTCTGGTTCATGATTGCCATTCGACGTCTCCACAAGTGAGGCAGATGTGGTGGACAGCTTTTGGCGCTTGCTTGGCCGCTGCATTTCGTCATTCATGTTGTCAACGGGTGGATTGGGGTCTGTCTTGGCCATCAGAACTGTTGAAGGTGCAGATAGCACCGATTGAGGAGTATCGTGTGTCTGTGACTGCTTGTCTGCAATGCTGACCATCGGAGAAGCATGTATATGAGCAATCTCATACTCGAGTGGATCACAGCACTCTGAGATCTCCGACGCCAAAGTCCTTTTCTTGTGTTTCTTCTCCACTGCATTGATCATATTTCGTATCCACCGTCGATTCTTGGATCCGATGAACTCTTTGAGCGCAATGAAGAAGACGGGACCATACGTCCGCGGGATGCTGGACTCACAGAGAAGCTTTCGGGGATACTTGCGATGCAAGCGATGACAAGCCAAGGCTGTCATGACCAATAACTTTCCAGCATCAGATTCCGGCGAGGAGGGCTTGTTAGACGTCCTGTACACGAACCGAGTCTCCCATAATGACGAAAGGAATTCGATGAAACAGTACTGAGATTCTTTCAACTGATATGCTGCCGCAGGGGCTACGTCGAACGCATCGAGCTTCCATTGCCTGACGATTGCCATGGTAACATCCGAAGTAACCCACTTTTCCACTTCGTCAATATCGCCCTTGAGTGTCACTGCCAGATCTTTGAGATGTCCATAGTAGTAGCGCTGTTCAAGTGGCTTCTCCAGCGACGATTGAGGCAGTTTGGACGCAGGCTTCAACTTCTCGCTTTTAGTCGCTTTGACTTTTGGATCATCAATTTCTGGGGCAGATGTTGGGTCTTTCGTCGTGCCATCGGCTGAGGTGAGCTGAAGTGGCTCCATAGCCTGAGCCTTTAGGAACGTAAAACAACGGTAAAAGACGAGCCGGTGAGATTTAACAAGTGCGAATAGTAGAGTTAAGAAAAACAACAGAAAAAGTATTGAATTATCTGAGAACAAGTAGAGACAAGAGGTGAAGTATTCTATTGCTTCGAAGGCTGCTGTACAAGCGATTGAAGCAAGGGAAATTAGCTCACCTCACATCAAGCTTTCAGCGTGTATTGCTCAACAACCATCTCAAGCCTCTCCAGAATCTTGCTCTTCCTCGCCTGATCACACCAGCTCCCCTCGACCGAATTCGTCACCACCGTCCTCCACTCCTCCACACTCAACCCAAACGCCTTTTGCACCGCAACAAAGTTATCCAGAATATAGCCCCCAAAATACGCCGGATCATCGCTATTCACACTGAACCTCACCCCTTTCTCCAGAAACACCCTCAGCGGCACGTCCGCCACACTCTTCACATTCCGCAACACCACATTCGACAGCGGACAGCAAGACAGCATGACGCCCTCCTCAGCCACCCTCCGCATCAACGCCTCGTCTTGCACAAGACTGATCCCGTGGTCCACCCTCTCCACCCGTAACACATCCAGTGCCTCGCGCACACTCTCCGGGCCCACTTCCTCGCCCGCATGCGCTGTCACGCGCAGCCCGAGCGCCCTTGCCCGCGTATACAAGTCCTCGAATCCCCGCGCCGGAAATCCAGCCTCACTGCTATCAAGCCCAATACCCACCACCTCGCCACTGGCAAACGCCTGCTGCAGGGCCTCGGACTCGAAAAACACCAGGCTCTCGTGCACCGGTAGATGGCGCAGGAAGCAGCAGATCAGCACCGACGAGACGCCCAGTTCAGATGCTGCGCGAGCGCGTGCGGCGCTAAGGCCAGTGAGTACCGTGGTCAGGGCGATGCCGCGCGAGGTGTGAGCCTGCGGGTCAAAGGAGAGCTCGGTGTGCAGGACGCCGTCGGCAGCAGCGCGGGTGAAGTAGGCCATGGCTAGGGCTTCAAAGTCGGAGGCGTGGATGAGTGTTGACATGGCGGTATAATAATAGCCGAGGAAGTCGTCGAGGGATTGGAAACTGTGTAGGAGGAGGATGTGTGTAAGTATTTGGTGATAGATGGAGAAGAAGAATGATTATTCATTTATTGGTTTATAGAATGGACTTACTCTGCGTATCGCTGATGGAGAGCTGGGATTGATGAGTATGCGGCATCGGATTCAGGGAGTGGGATGTTGTTTTTCGCGGAGAGCTGGAAGAGGAGTTCAGGGGACAGGGAGCCTTCGATGTGGATATGGTGCTCGCATTTCGGGAGTGCTTTGAGGAACTCTATGTTGTCAGATACCTGAGACATAGTGATATATGGCACGATGTGTGCTATGTTCGGAATCTGTCGACTTGGTGTTCACTTGAGCCGTGTTGTAGATCTGTGATGCTGAATGACTGAAAACTAACGTTAGCCTACACGGCATATTGTAGGCGACAATTGATGTCTTTTTGAGGCACCTGCAGACTCGAAGGCCCTACTGGACATGATAAGTGTCCGCGCAAGTCTTCGGCGTCCCATTGCAAATTTTCACGATACACGTCTAATATTCGGGTTCCAAATTCAGGGTACGAGTCGGGTGAAGGTCCAAATATGCTTACTCGGAGCCGCCCGGATGACGTCATTCTCAGGCGCAAGGAAGATTTATAATCTTCAAAGGCAGAGGGCTTCAATCATATGCGTGACTCCCAGCTGTAAAGAAGATATTGATACAGCAGCAGGAGCAACAGGTCGTACTTGACCAGCATGTAAACATCTATGCGGCCAGACTTTTTGTACTGGCGACGTACAGTCGACATGTAAGCATATCAACGCAGCGACCGAGGAAAGGAAGACTTCTGGAACAACTCTATCGGACCGACAATAGATTAAATTTTTTTGCAGACGTGGGTCGAGAGCTGCTTGCTACCCCCGGGGGGTGTTGAGGTCGTGTTCGTGACGGGGTCGCACATGGCATGGATTCATCATGGAAGGCTCTCAGGCAATTGCTTGTCCCAGTCAGCACACTCCACACTGCACACCGCACACCTCTCCACGCTGCGCTGCGTGGTCACGATGGTCCTCGTGCCTATTATTGTGTCTCGTCATGTTGTCGTGTTCCCTGTCTGTCTCTGTCGCTACTACTGCGTCTGCCTCGTCTGCACACCAAGACGCCATGTCCTTGGGGACCCCTGACCAGCACATTCCACTTCCAGCTAGACGCATCCTGCATGAAGACGCAGAGGATTGTGGTGCCTGTCCTCTGAGGTCGGCGATCGAAAGTCGTGCAAATTGAAACCTGTCCTGCAGCCAGCCAGATGAAAGCTGGAGCTGGGGCTGCAACTGAGAAGACGATGACAGGCCAGGAGGCAGGCCAGAATCCTGAGGGGCGACACTAAAGGAAGTAGGACAGTGGCAGCGGCAGAGAGGTGGCAGTGGTGGCGGCATATAGGCGATGGAGGTGGCAGATACGGCGGCAAAGATGGAATTTGCCGTTGCAATAGTGATGATTCCCATACTCGCCATATTGGGGAACAGGTCCAAGATTGGATGCGATTGACAGTTGTTGATGCCTCGGGACGGCAGTTGTCAGACACGTTTGGAGATGTGGCTGCGTTGGCGTTGACGCCGGTGGTGGTGATGGTGTCCACTGTCGGCCGCCTGCCGCGCGCTGCCGCCCAAGCCGAAAGTACAGAGAAGTGTGAAGCAAGAAGCAACAGGACCACACTGCAGTATGTTCCGTGGATGATTCATAGATGCAGTATCAGCATGCCAGCAGCACGCAAAGTGTGTGCACAACTGTGACCGGCGGACATGAGGCCGCTTTCGACTCGTGGGGCTCCAAGGGGAATCGGGATGCGGCAACAGGCACACCACACCGTACGGCGCCTGCACTGTACTATTCACTCTGCAATCTACACTATACACCTGGAGGCCCTGAGCCCTGGCCGCCCTGTCAGACCTTTCGGCCCTTCACACGGCTGCCGGCCGTTCACGCCCGTTGCCCGTGGAGCCTGCACGAACAAGCATTCCGGGACAACATGACACACGATAAGACATCCGTGGTCCCCACATACTACACTGACTCGAGCCCTTATGACTCTAGCGGAATCAGGTATCAACTCCGTGGTGGAGCCACCATGACTGCTTTTCACAGCTAACCAGTCGTTCAGCCCAGGACACGAGTATGGCGTACAATGCAGTACGTCCACCTGTCGCTACGTGATGGGCTCTGCGTCCCGATGCCTGGACGACGGTCTTCATGCCTCGGAGGAACCATGAATTCTCACGCGTTTCAGCATGTTTGCAGGATGCCTTATTCACACTGTTATTGTCCGTCACATGTCGTGGCTCGTCGACACGCAATAGATGGGGGATTGTAGTGCCATGCGGCCCGCGGCTTCAAGCATCAGACTCGCCGGTCGCACGTAAGTGTCCGAGGGCTGAGGGCCCAGCCAATTCCGGGCCATTTTCAAGACTAGACAACGTGTATAGGCAAGCACATGGCGACGGGAAGGTCGAAGTGTTGTGCACTTGCAAATCCCCATTCCATTGCATTTTGAGACTATCCTAGTCAGACGAAGGGTCACGCCACAACAAACATATCTGGAAAACATACATGAAAGGCCTGTGTCCGGAGGTCGTTCTGTAGATCACTGGGCAAGCATCGATGATGTATCTTTCATCCTGGCAGATCGGCGCTCGGCCGAAGCAAGACCTATCAATAGACGGAACTTGCCAGACGAGATTGTGCAAGCGTCTAGTGTGTGAAGCAAAAGCAAGCCTTCTTATGAGCGCCAGAATATAGGAGAGACGATCCAGGATCCAAATTGACCTTCAACTGTCACTGTGCCGCGGGAGGATTCTGGAAGACATCAAATCACCCTGATTCGGGAGCGTCTAACAAGGGTAACGTGGATGGAAGGCAACAACAAGGAACCGGCTCAAAGTATTTCGGTAGCCATCCGATGCCGTCGCGGCAAGCGGATCACCCTTAGATCCGTGCTGTCTGGTACGGGTACGTGGAGAGGGGTCTAGCCCGTGCAGCATACAGTGTGCGACTGTTGTCTAGTCATGATACTGGACGTCTGTCCTGGTCTCTCATATAAACGCTAGAAGGACAACACACCCCTTCGACGATCTGTGCATCTGACGCGTCGATATCTCGGAATACCATCATCCTGCTGCTTGATGCCTACAATAGGCAAGTCGATGCTTCATGACCACATAGACATTCGCACGTCAGTCCAGTCAGGCCAGGTAGCCTGCATCTGCCGAAGTCTGAAAAGCGAGGAATGTCAAACGTAGAAACCGCTTTAGGAACTGTGCTTCTTCGCTGCACGCATTTCCTGGCTATGACAAGATCTCAAGTATTGAAGCGTCATCTCGTACGAGTGGAATGATTGCTCGCCGTAACTCAAACACATGAATGTGTATGGAGACTGTAATTATGGAGCAAAGTCATGGCTTGTGGTTCATAGCGCTCAAGCCTCTGCTCTAAGTGCTAGCAGACACTGGAAAACTGGAGCCTGCCAAGCTATATGACTATGGTGCTGTTGACGTGGAGAGGTTGCGTGAGGATGCAAACTCCAGCTTGTATCTTACTTAGTGTGCAGAAGATGGCGCTGAGGACATTTCGCTTAAAGAGGCGGATCAACAGGCGCACTAGGGCTGGGAGACAGTTGGACTTGGCTTCTGGTCCCTGGCGATGACTGGCGTGACCGGCGGCGGCGGTTAAATGCGAGACTCCTCGTGTCCTCGTGCTCTGCTCCGGGGGGGCGCGGGTCGGAGAGAGGGAAAGGGGGGGGGGGATTGGGGTGGGTTGTGGATGGGGATTGGGCCCTCATAAGTCGCTGCTCCTCAGGGCCGAATAACGTGGCCTGGCTGCGGCGAATAGCGGAGATTGCCCTGGGTCATATTACTGCCGGCAGCCCTATTTCGCCTACTCAACAACTTTTTATCCTGTCTTGATGCTGCGTGTCTCTAAGCTCATCCAAGAGGGCCTGCATCGCAGCCGGCCTTTCGTATAAAAATCCACGCTCACGCATCGAAAAATTGGAATGCTCTTTCTCAATTGTCTGTGCCTTGTAGTTCCCCTTCAATCTTAGCAAGAGTATCCACTGATAGACATGGCCAACCGCTGATCCATGGGAATTACCGAAGATGGTCCTGTTATAACTTATAACCGCCTCAAGCGTATCTGGTGGAGATGGTGGGATGACGGCCGAGCAGAGTGGATTCCAGTTTCCCTTTACAGCGTTCCCTGCAACTCTCGCCCATACCCTTGCCCGCTCTACGACTGCTAATGCGCTCTCGATGAGTGCAGAGCTCGCTTTCTGCCCCTGTGCCGGCTGTCGACATCAGTCGCAGTCTGTCGTTGGTCGCCGAATCCAGCGTGCTGCCGCAGTGGGCAAGGAAGCAGGCACATGCGATGTGATCGTACGTGCATTCCGCCAATGCGGAGTGGAGGCATCTTCACTGGTATTATTATTATTAGTAATGATGCCCGTCGGCTCTCCAGACTCTAGCTTTGCCTCCTTGGGGCAACGCATGGCTCGGAGCCGTACCGAGGCCTACATCGCGAACCCGACTACTTCGCATGAGAAGTCGTTGGAGATGGTGAAACGTGTGGCAGTAATGAATAGTGGATCGTGAATCGTGTGTTGTGCATTCAGACGATGCTGGGGTGGAAAAGATTCGTCACACAGAAATACGCTTAGTGGTAATAATTAGGGAAATGAAGGATTGGGAAAGCGCTGTTGATGCCTGAAAGTATGAATGGTAAAACCTACAGCGTGTGCCTTAGCCCGGAGTAATGGCGGCCGTCCTTAGGCTGCAACTGACCTGCATCCACGCCACATGCACTCACAGAACTCGAACGATGCATAAGCATGAGATTGTTCTTGGCTTTGGTACGATTTGAGCGAAGAACACGCATTCGCGCAGATACTTGGTGTGCTAGTCAATCCATGATCCAAGTCCCTTTCAAGCCTATCTACTTCCTCTGTACGTCAGCAATGAAATGCCTGATATCGGTGCAAGTGCTGTTTCTTGTATGTTTTCTCTGTACGATATCTATATTTCTATATAATAGGTGTTCGGTAGTAAGATCGACAGGCAAGTCCCGCTCGGGCGACGCGCTGCCGGATCGGTTGAAACGAAACGATTCCTTCGTTATGCACATCCAGCCGTCCCCCTCCCCCTTCCCCCGTGCGAAAAAAGGGATCCACCAGCGGAAATGCTAAGTAGAGCCTTAGGTCGACATGTCACAGAACTCGGATGTTCCGCCGGTAGTAATCCCCAATCGTGCATACAACTCCTGCCAAGACAAACAGGTCTCAGAACGCGGAAGCTTCGATGGTCTGTCCATCAGGCGAAGATACACGTCTTGCAGCCCAGTATCAAGAACAGCAATGCTGGAAGGTGTACCAGTTCATGTGGCGTCTATGTGTGAAGCCTTTCTTGATCATGTTGTCATGGCCGTCACAGAAAGAGCACGGTCGTGGGGTTATCTATTTACAGCCCTATCCCGATATCCCTTTTCCTCCCCCCTCCCCCCTGCTGTCCCTGCTACGTTGTGGCGCGTGAAAGATCCAGAGACGCCACAAACATGTACGATCACCCTTGTGTAGTTTCCGTACTTTTTGCATGCTGGTCACCCTCGCTTAACCATACTTGACGGGAGGGCTACTTGGCTGACCTCTTATTTTTGTTATTATTTCCTTTATACTCAGTGACGCTTTTTATTACTGGGCCAATGAATTGACACTACACTGCCGCAGTCTGCGTCACTTCTACGTACTTTGCAAGCCCAACTATCCCACTCTACTCCCTTAAGCCTTGTCGAACCTTCCTCAGCAGGTAACTAGATTAGAGACAGGTGTGGTATGCTTGTGCAACTTCATTCGTCCTTCTCACATACATACTGTTTGCTTCCGTACGATCAAGGCTCTGCTAAAAAAGGCTGATGTCCATTCAATTGACCATACCATAATCTATCCAACACGCCGTATTCTGGACAGCACTTTTTGATCTTGGATCTATGAAACGACATCTACATCTGCCGTTCTACGCCCGTCTAAACAGACCAAAGAAGAACCCTGCCTGTTCTCCCTGCATTACCTTCCGGACCGTCCTCCATTCGGTCAAATCCGGCATCATTCGGTTCTGGTCGCAATAGTGTTGATCAGCTTGCACCACTCACAGGTCATTCTGCCCGGGCGTCGGTGGAGTTTGGACTGTTGTGCACTCCACCTCAATCACTTTGCCTCACCGACTTCTAGTCTTCTACATCCCAGCCATCTGGTCGTCTCCGCGCTGCCGCCGGTACCTGCAACTAATCTTAGTCCAACCGCGATCCCGCCGTTCTGTCTGAGATCCCCTGGTCTCTCGTGTTTGGCTCCACTAATCCACCGCACTGGCCTCAAGTCATGCTCTGAAAAGATCTTACTTCTAATTGGCCTCGCCCCCTCAACGTTCCCGAGCCTCTCCAGACCTCTGGTAAAGGGTTGCACGTTCGGTTGCTACCGAACAGCGTCCTTGAATGATACCTGGACGGCCGATATCTTCTGTTGTCGTTCCTCTGAAACTTCAACATGGATGGACCAGCAAATCCATTCGGTCGCAACTCCCACCATCGTCCAACTCCGAGTCATGATTCTTCGACAGACACTTCCCATCCTTCGCCTCAGTCATTGATACGACCTCCACCACCTGGGATGTTTGCTCCCAGTCTTCCTCCGCCACCTCCGCCCCATCAGCATCCCATTCCGCGCTCTCCAGGCAACATTGGCACTCCACAGTATCTTCATCAATATGGAGCCCTATCGATGTCGGGCAGCGCCGGTTCTGGGGCATTGCAGGATCATATTCCTCCTGGAGAAGCACCATTTCCTGGCTCAGGAATCTCACAGACCCACCTTGCAGCAAGTCTTTCCGCCCAGAAAAGAGCATATCGCCAGAGACGGAAGGACCCCAGCTGCGATGCCTGTCGCGAACGCAAAGTCAAAGTAAGTACCTAAGTATTATACCCACTCCTCAAATCTGCTCTTCGTACTTCTGCTGCGAGTTTGGCAGTTTGAAGAATTCGTGCTTTGATTTTGCTTCTTTGTATTGCACCTCTGGGCCTTTGCAAATACATTGGCTGTTTGCCACTATATCTGATGGTCGTAGCCCACACATTAGAGCCGTGTCACTTGTAAAATGTCGGACGAGGACTAATATTTCCACAGTGCGACGCTACAGAGACGTCGAGCTGTTCAGAATGCCATCAACGTGGTGTCAAATGCCAGTTTACGAAAGAGACGAATCGCCGGATGTCGTCAATAAAGTAAGTATTCTGACATAAAGGACAAAGCAAGCACTGATCATTTGCGATGTAGACAGGTGCAAGACCTTCATACCCAGCTTGAGGCAGCAAAGAGTGAAATAATTGAGCTAAAGCGTACCTCAAATGGACGTGGTTCAGACAGTTCTGAAGCACTAGAGCTGCCGGATGTGGCAGTGGTCAAACCTCGACGAGCGACACAGTCTTCACCACCACAGAATCTTGCTCACGTCCAAAGGAATGCGCGTATATGGGGACATGGAATCTACAAACCTCCTGCACCAAATCGACAGGGCGTTGCAAACTTCGCTTTTTATCAGCATTCTCCTCCTCCGTTACCTCCTAGATTGACAGTCGACCGTCTGATCGGGCACTATTATGCTTCGATTCACGCAATTACGCCTGCAATCGATTTTCAAGAGCTTCTTAAGGATCTTGACAAGGCCTACCATAGCGCTTATCATCATCGAATGTCTCATATCTGGCTGGCACTCGTATTCGCAGTTCTGGGATGTGGATGCTTGCACAGAGTAGACGGCAGTGCAAAGTCTGTTCAACAGGACTCTGATGGTCAACGATACATTGATGAGGCAGCTAAGGCTTTTTCTTCATGGACTGACGACTTCACTCTGGACCATGCCCGGATAGCACTCCTTTTGAGCATATACATGCATGAGATTGGCCTCAAGACGGCCGCCTCGACGTGGCTGGCGACAGCAGTGAGAGTGGCTGTGGAACTAGGATTACATCGGCAGGATGAGTCGCTTGTGGCGGCTAGTGTTGATGAATCATGGCGCGTGTGGTGGTCAATCTACACATGGGACAGGTCAGTGTGCAATTCGACGAACCTAGCTATGAAGCACGCTAACAGTAGACCACACAGACTACAATGTCTTGAGATTGGTCGACCTCTGCTAATCAGCGACGATGAATGTAACGTAATATTTCCAAAGTCATTCGACGATCGTTTCGTGGTTCCGCCACATGTCGACATTTTCGTTACTCCGCGAGACATATCGTTTTGGAACTACACAATGCTGACCTGGGTGGTTCGTTTCGTGGGACAATTAAGAAAGACATTGGTCAAAAGACACACCTCGATCGACGCAAAAACGTTGCATGAGTATGACGATTACTTCAACCAAATCCTGTCGAAGATGCCACCCCCTTTCCAAGCCCGCTCCGCCACCTATCTAGATCCGTCTTCGTTATTCCCAGCCCTGAGTCTTCAAAGCGCGCGACTCAGCCTGTATCGACTGAATATTTCCTCCAAGCAATATGGCGAACGACTCGACGCACTTAGCAGATGCCAAAGCGTAGCATTAGACACGGTCGACTACATTAGACGCTCCCAGAGCGGGTCACCACACGGCTCTCCAGGCGCCATACAAGCATACATGCGACAATGGGCCAAACAACTAGCAGATGCAGCCCCAAGCATGCTATGTACACACCTCTGGCGATGCACCCTGCTCCTCTGCTTCAATCTCGACTTCGAAAACGCGTTGATCTGCCTCGAAGCAAGCACCGCCATTGGCGACATCCACCCAATCAACATCGCCTGTGGCCGCAACATCTGGTTCTTTCTTGGCATGCTCCCGGACCGACTATCACCAGGCCATCGGATGGACCAGGACGAAGAAATGCTTGCCTACGCCGCCGCAGACATGCAAGCCAACCCAGACACCGCATGGATCTGGATAGACCAAGAATCAAACCCGCGCTTCACCGCGCCCCCTCCGCCTCCGCCGCAAGCAGACTCTGCATCTATCGACACCCACCACCACCATCACCACCACAACCACCCACGCTCCACCGCCCTCCTCTCAGACACCGAAATCAAAGAATGGAAGGGCTGGGACAAGCTCATGGCCAAGATGCGCGACCTCCAAGCCCAGAAACGCGCGCTGGACGTTGCTACCGCCGCCGCCGCTGCTGTTCACGCCGTCCCGAGACTGCATACGCGCCCGCTCGACGCCGCCGAATCGCCCGTCATCCCTCTCCATCCCCCGTCCGCAACGTACTATTCACCGGCACATAACCCGCACAAACGTCTCCATCTCGAACCCCCGGTGTCCACCACCGCCGCTGCAGTCGTCGTGCCGAAACAATCCGCACCCACACCCGTATCTGCAAGCACGCCCCTGACGCAGCAGTCACCCATTTCCTCGACAACAAGCCCGAGCACAGCCTCCCGCATCAGTATTGCGAATATCATCTAATTCTCGCTCCTTCTTGTATGATTTGTTCACCGCGGCCCCCCGCCTCAACCCCTTTTTTTTGCACTGTACGTTTTCAATTCTCATGATACCCCGCCGCTTTGGGCGAACTCGGGCTAGAATATATTCTTTTTTCTTTGACTTATGAGTGGGCTGGATGGATGGATGGATGAGTGCATTTTTGGCGTTCGGGATGTGCGGTGCTGGAAAAAGAGGGAGCAGAGAGAGAGATGGACAGAGCGGAAGAGGGGAAAGGACTGGCATTGCGAGGCGTTGTTCTCTGTCAAAGAGTGTGATATGAACATATAAGCTTTAATCACGCGGTGTGTCAAGCTCCCAAAAAATTGACGATGGTGATGGTGACGCTGGAACTATATACCATTATAGCTACCTATGCAAGATATATACGTATGTATGTGTATAGTGTATGGAGCCATGTATGCAGCATGTGGCATGATGAATGAGAAACACGAGTACAGCGCAGCGTATAGCGAATGCTATGCTGAGCATCACATAGTCAAACTTAGAAAAGCTACGGCACTAGGAAAATGTACTGGGGACATGTCAGGCGCATTTCAAGCAGGCAGCGAAGTGTCCCTGGATTAATGATCCCCCTCACTGTACATCTCCAGGCGACCTTATGGGAAACAGAAGGGGGCTGTTAGGGGTGTCCTGCGTGCGCACTGCTCTACTGTCTTCGGTTCGCAAGGTATAGTGCTGCACTATACATACAACACATCGTATATATTCTCTCCGCGGTACGTGACTGTCTGTGCAAATGTAGATGTAGACGCAGAAGCAGAAGCAGAAGCGAAAGCAGCCACTGTAGAACAAGACAATGCAGAATACGAAGAATACGTATTAAACAAACATGCAAAACAAAGCTTATACAAGCTAACCTACAAGCTGAACAAGCGTAATTAAAAATCCACGTGGCTAATTACCCCAGCCGGTTCAAGGAGAAATAGGCATGCCGCCAGCTGCAGCCTCACTTTTTTCTTTTTCTGAAAGGGGAGGGAATAGACTTGACTTTCTAAGCGAAATACCTATGCAGATATTATTCGGTCGAGTCATGGTATACGAGAAGTACTTGGATCTGCATAGCATGACTCAAGAAGGAAGGGGCTCTGTGAGATAATAAATGAAGGATGGATGGATCGCAAGGAGGGAAGGAAGCGGAATTTGCCATGCGAAGGATGGATCAGGATGAGGATCAGGATCAGGATCGACGCCATGAGGGGGTTGAAACTGGCTTATGCATGTTGGGGCACGAGGGAAGGGCTTGTGCTTTGGTGGAGAGTTAGGATGTTTATATTATCTGGTATGTTGGTATGTGAGGATATGTGGGGAGTGTGAGGACTGAGAGGTGTCTGTGTAGTGTTCTGTTGACGTGAGGGTCCGTGATAGCTGTCGTATGGATGTCGGCCTAATAACGCTTAACCCCTCGACGCGTATTTCATTACGAAGCCTACTCAGGTTCCCTGTAGGTAAGATAGGTCATTTCGAAAGTTGATGTCTAACCAGGGAAAACTTTAGTGCCTACTCGGGATTAGCGTCCACCTTTCTACACGACTACCTGTGAATATGTAATGACGCCATAACATGGCCTGGTATGAGCGGCAGAAGTGCATAGGTATTAGTGGATTCGAGAATAGGTGCTGAGGACGTAGACGTGCTGTCCCTGAGCCGCCCGGATCGCATCCCGGTGTTAGCGCGCGTGGAAAAGCATTAGCGTTTATGGCGCATTCACTCAGGCGCACCCCGGGGCTTTGGGACGTAGTCCTGGTGAGCCGCGGGACTCCGAGACTGCGTTTCGACGTCCGTCACTCGGGGAGGTCTGTGTTCGCGTCTACGTCTACGTCTGTGTCAGTGTCTGTGAAGGTTTCGGACGGACCGGATCGAGCGTCGCGGCATTTAGGCCGCCCGCAGTACACCAGCAGCGGTCCATTGAACGTTAGGGGCAGCGGGCTGAGATGCTTATGCTTGTGCCAACTGGGGCGGGACCATGGAATGGCGGTGTGGAAGTCGTGAGGTGTGTAGATTCCTGCGAGGATTTCACTCGTACCACTGCTAGGGCAGTATGAATGGCTACGTGGCGATAACTTCACGACTTCTCAGCCTTGAAGCCGTGTTCAAATTGATCAGAGTGTTCTTCAGACGTGCTGTGCTGAAAGCTGTCTGCATCTGCGTCTGCATCCGCGTCTGCATTGCACGGCTCCGTCAGATCTGTGCCTCGTCCTCGCAGTATTCCCTCTTCCTCTCGGTACTCCCTCTATCTCGCAAGCTCAGCATAAAGACAGGACCACGTCGAGTTGGAGGTGCGTTATAAAGACCACAAGCTGGCTTACCATCAGCACCATCAGTAGGCCACGCATGCCCCGGGCCAATGGGTGCGAGCAAAACTCTCCTGGTGCAATGCCACATCTTACATTAGCGTGCCAGGCATGCACTCGACGGCCCTATCTCAGATGCCGGAATACTGAGTGAGGTATAGCTGTGGTACTCGTGCGTCTGAAACCTTTGTGCCTGAAGGGCGAGAACGAGCATGGGTGGTGCCGCAGCAGTGCGTTCTCTCTCTCTAGGTGCTATGACGATGAGTACCGGGTATATCGTAACATCGTCCAATGTACGCAGTGGGCAAGCGTTCGATTCGTTAGGCACGACGAGTCCGCTGGAGGCTTAGGAAGTATGTAAGGACATATAAATAAACCCCATGCCGCAAGGTGAGGAGGAAGTAAAAGCTGGGGATGGATGCAGGTGGTGTGTAGATGTTGCAGGGAGCTAAAAAGCTTGAATTTGGGGAAAGCTGAGCTTGAAAGCGTCTGGGCAGCCTTTCAGTACCAACTGAGCAGTCACCCCCGCTAATCATCCACGTCGTACCTTCCCACGTTGCCTGTCTTCCAGCCGTGCCACCATTGCCGGCTTCAGCTCGAGATTCCCCCACCATTTGATAAAGAGTCTATCCTACTCCCTCCCCTCTTACACTCTTGACTCTACCTGTGTCTCTTCTACAGCCCTCATACCTTCCGACTATACATTTCTATCTATTCTATTTTCAATTCACGTCGAATTCGACCTACAGCTGCTGCAATGGTCCATCTTGCCCGTGTCTCTCGATCTCAGGACAATGATGTCGACCCGAATCTCAAGGCCTTGAAGGACAAGCTTGGCGAGCTGAAGTTCGATATTGACGACGAGGAGGATACCTATGATACCTCCGTATACGGCTCCAAGTGGGCTGGCAAGGATCTCCCAAAGACTGAAATGCCTGAGAGGGAGATGCCGCGCGAGGTCGCCTACCGTATGATCAAGGATGACCTTAGCTTGGATGGAACACCCACTCTAAAGTAAGTGCGAGACTCTGTGAAGCTTCAATGGCACCTCGCTAATCCATTGTGCAGCTTGGCCAGTTTTGTCACTACATACATGGTAGGCAATGGTGACTACAGAACTCCTGGAGCTGTCCTTACGAGAGACGTAGGAAGAAGAAGCCGAGAAGCTCATGACGGAGGCCTTCCCGAAAAACTTCATAGACTACGAAGAGGTGCGTTGTCTCTCTGTGTGAAGTCTTCCTAGCTAATTGATGCCATAGTATCCTGTTTCTGCCGACATTCAGAACCGCTGCGTTTCCATGATCGCCAAGCTTTACAATGTCCCTGACGAGCCAGGGTCTGCCCCTATGGGTATGTGTGCATGACTCAGTCTCGGAAATAAGTAGTAACATTCTGCAGGCACGAGCACTGTTGGTAGCTCCGAAGCTATCATGTTGGCTGTCCTAGCCATGAAGAAAGTCTGGGTGGCGAAGAGGAAGGCTGAGGGCAAGCCTTTCGACCGACCCAACCTCGTTATGAACTCTGCCGTCCAGGTCTGCTGGGAGAAAGCCGCAAGATACTTTGATGTGGAGGAGAAGTACTCTTTCTGTACCGAAGACCGATATGTCATCGATCCTGTCGAGGCTGTTGACCTCGTTGACGAGAACACAATTGGTATTTGCACTATTCTTGGTACAACGTACACGGGTGAATACGAAGATACCAAAGCTATCAATGATCTTCTTATTGAGAGAGGCATGGATACTCCAATCCACGTAGACGCAGCCTCGTAAGACCCTTAATCCTCCCCGCTACAGACCTAGCTAACAATTCCCAGGGGAGGTTTCGTAGCGCCTTTCGTCAACCCCGAGTTCGAATGGGACTTCCGTCTTGAGCGTGTCGTATCAATCAACGTGTCTGGTCACAAATACGGTCTCGTCTACCCCGGCGTAGGCTGGGTCGTCTGGCGTGACCCCAAGTACCTGCCCAAGGAACTGGTCTTTAACATCAATTACCTTGGTGCCGATCAAGCCTCCTTCACTCTGAACTTCTCCCGAGGCGCGTCCCAAATCATCGGCCAATACTACCAAATGATCCGTCTCGGCAAGCACGGTTACCGCGCCATCATGTGCAATCTTACTCGCACAGCTGAATACCTCGCGACAGCCCTCGACCATCTTGGATTCATCATCATGTCCGCTCGTCGTGGCGAGGGTCTCCCTCTCGTAGCTTTCCGTATCGACCCAAAGAAGGGTAAGCTATACGACGAATTCGCCATTGCTCACCAGCTGCGCGAGCGCGGCTGGGTAGTACCTGCATACACCATGGCACCGCACTCGGAGCAGCTCAAGCTTATGCGTGTTGTCGTACGAGAGGATTTCTCGAGGTCTCGCTGTGACAGCCTGATCACCGACATCAAGCTCGCATGCCAGGTGCTGGACGAGCTAGATTCCAAGAAGGTCCAGGAGCACCAAAACCACATTGCGCGTACCACCATCCGCGCGTGGCAGAAGTTTGGCATCACCAGCAAGCCAAATAACCACTACGCTGATGAAGAGCACTCGCTACAAGGCAAGACCGGCAAGACACACGCGCCATGCTAAGGTCCTGGGCTCCCGTGGCTGGCGAGAGGAAGAAAGGAAGCGAGGTGATACACGAAGTAATGACTGCATGAATTGGCATAGTACAAATGCATTGGATATACAGAACTACTGGATCAGATGGTGGGCAGCGATTGAACTAGACCTGCATCTTGCGATTCAGCGTAGTGCGCGTCTATCGGAACGAATAGATGTTATTCCTATCCTGAGATCAACGGACTAACTGATATTTGTGTGACACGATATGGTGTGATGTGATGTGACATTTTTGTCAGTCAGCATTATGGACAGCAAGCTCACATCTGCATGCATACCTCTTAAAGGGACAACATGCGGTGAAGATTGCAAGTAGTTAATTTGAGAGAACAGTGCCGTTGTGTCCCCCGGTCTACCCTAGAGGCCTCCATGTCCGAGTCTCGCCTTCCGATCCTGATAGTTTTACAGTCACTTGAGGAGGTGGACAGGTATATCATCGTCATGATGGTGGATGAGCGAGATATAAAGCTAAAGAGAGGCTGTGAGACGATCTGTGTAGTTGGTGAGAAATGAAAAGAAACATGTCTATATTAGAGACGGAGTACTTCCATTCTCATCCTGTAGACATTTCGATCTGACTCCTGTGGTTTCTGGTATACGCTTGCTGCGCACTAATAGATAAGACTGAGAATGACTAAAACGGGTCCTACTCAAGCCTCGGGAGTCACGAGATTAGGGGTTACGACCGCCCGCATCTTACATCTGAGTATGTGCCATGGTAGGCGAGTGGAGAAAGCTGAACCCAGCACTTTTTGCTTAGAGAAAGGTCATCTGGGCTCGTTTTCAGGCTTATGTTGGGTAAGAGCAAGGCCAAATTTTCTTACTAAGAAGTATGTGGATTTCGTTCAGCCTCAGGCTTTTTCTGTGGAGACGTTGTTTGTCGAGACGCCTGCATGGTTGGGTCATTTCATTTCATGTCCACTGTCTCGTTGTACTCACAGCTCTAACCGATGTGAATGACTGATACTCTCATGATAGAATAGATAAGAACGTATGAACGTCAGCCACTTTACACATCTGATTCAAAATAATTGCGCTCGACGGCCAATATGACAACTATCACGATTGAAGAGGGCGGAAAGGGTAGGAAGCTTCCTTATTATTCTATGTCGGTACTAAATGTTCCACCACATGATTGCTGACAGTCTCCAGAGTTTGCGGGCCCTGCTGGCCGAACTCTTTCGAAGTGCTTCAACGACGATCCTGTGATTCGTTTCATTGTGCATACTCTGCCTGAACCCCGGCGTCTGGCCTATCTCCCCAAACTCTTCGATACATTTGCACATGCTGGCGCAATCAATGGTGCAACGTTCTACTCTGCCAACTCGTGGCAGTCTGCTGTGATCCTGATGCCTCCGGGGTCCTCCCTTGACGGACCGCTTACAGTCATCAGAGCCGGTTTTCTAAGTGTTCTTTGGCATGCAGGACTCGATGGTGCGAAGCGTATGCTTTGGGAATATACGCCTATCCTGGACGCAGTGAAAGCGAGAGCTCTGGGCAAGGAGGATTATTTCTATGTCTTTTTTGTGGGGACTCTGGAGGAGCATCGAGGGAAAGGTCTGGCGGCAGCACAGATGAGGAGAGTACAGACCGTGGCTCGCGAGGCCGGAAAGCCTGTTTGGCTAGAGGCTACGACAAAGAAGAGCTGCATGTTATATAGGAAGCTTGGCTGGCAGGTGACAGAGGAGGTGATCCTGGGCAAGAACGTGGTCGACACGCAAGGCTTTCAGAAAGATGGAGGAGAGGGTGTAAAGATCTGGGGGATGTTGTGGAAGCCTAAAAAGTGAGCAGCACACATGTCTCTGTTCGTCTGGGTTGCCCTTTGGCATCTATGTATGTGGATGAATTTCCTTAGCTCGTCGTCCTCAGTTCTCTAAGTCCTCCCTTTACGGGCACTGTTCCTCACATGTGCTTGGCGTCCCTAAACACAACTACTCACACTAGAGCTCGGGAACATTTTAGGAACAACGTGAACGAACAGCTAGTGTCAAAACAACAGATTTGACACTGTGGTCAATAACACGTCCACACGCGACTCTCTGTTGCCTTGGCTACCTGATTTTGTACACACATCATGAAAAATATTGCAATTCCAGCATCCCTATCCCCAAACCACACACTTTCTTTAGTCTCACATCCGTTTCTCCTGTCGTTGCTCGAATCATGTTGCGTATACACAAAGATAAACGGCAACCAGCCACCAATTCTCTCTTCGACATCATCAATTTGGATGATTACAAGCCCAAGCTGTATCAGCAGTACATTCGCATGTCCGCTCTGAATCAGACGAAGCTGAATCAAGCTGATCAGCGCAACTTGAAAGGTCATCTGGTCATCTTCTGGCACATTTACTTATACGTACGCTAACATACATGAAGCATTGAGCACTACAGTACCTCCATTGCTGTTCAGAGCCTACTCGCTAGAAGGCGCAAAAAGAACAAAGGGGTTTTGTAGCCCAGAGTTCTTTCGTCCGCCTACAGACATGAATACTAACAAGTATTGCTACGATTCTCTTTTTGATATGCCCATCGAGGAAGTAAAAGTGATGGGAGGTAACCATCTAATGTGGAAGGATCGAAACGACGATCAGTTCATCAGCTGGTCACGATCCATGCTTTTCGCCATCGAGCACGCACTTGGCCGGTCACGAAAAGGTCAAAGCCAGTGTTATATCTCTGCGATGGAGACCAGCCAAGCACAAACCACTTGCACTAATACCAGAAAAGACGAACAGAAAGCCGAATTCTTCTGGGCCACCGATGTTATGAACGCTTACAAGATTCGGGATTGGCAAGGCTGGCAGAACTTTGACCACAGCGGCTTGCATCCACGCAAACTTACTCACGAAGTGTTGTCGGTTGGCGTCATTCAGGTCAATGACCATACGAAGTACAACCATGTCGACCTACAAGACTTGATCAACTGTGGACTGTTTAAGGTATATCCGGAGTTCTGTATCCCGCGTAGCTCCCATCCTAAGTATACGGAGCATAAGAGTACCGGCCTGTATGAACGACTCACGTATATCAGGAATACGAATTTCCCGCGCCGTGGAGCGTTGAGTCCTGAATATATTTGCGAAAAGGATCTGCCTTGGGAGTCTCGCTACTACCAGGAAGTTCCTGAGATCCCGACCGAAGACCTTTGTTTCGCCTTCCAAGCGGCACTCCTGTTTCGCAATCAAGATCGTGAATATAACTGTCGGAAAGTTTCATATAGACAAGACGTTCCATCAATCCACCTATTCCTTCATTTTCTCTCTTTGAGGAGAAGACGAAGATGTGGTAATGCTGAGTTTGCTCGTGGTGTCAAAAAGTATTGGACAGGTGAGTTCCTTATGTTTTGAGTTCCTAATATATGTACTCATTTCCACAAAGCCAGCGACCTCAAGGAACATATCTACAGAGGCATGAACCAAGTTGCTGATAACTTGCCTGAGAGTATGCAGTACCTCGACTTGGTCAGAGAAGCCTGTGCCATCCTCGGGGTCACACCCATTCCCCCAAGCATCGTCAAGCTTGGCTGTGGCCGGAAGATGGCAGAACTTTACCGTGCTGAGGACGAAGCGCTGAATGCCGAAACTGATGAGAATCGCAAGCCCAGGCCTTACCTTGTTCACGATCTTTCTACAGGTGAGAAGAGACTTCCTGGTGGAGGCACACCGAGATACGGACAGCGAAAGAAGGGGAAGTCGTCGGAGTGGTTAGTGACAGATTGACCTACACTATTTCATCGCACCGGCGCTTCGAGGAACCTATCCTGCAAGCAATCCTTCGACTGTTCGCTGCTAGCACGTGAGCCTTCTCATCGTCAAGAGCCCCGTGGGGTCTATCCTGATATGTTGGAATTGCTATGGTTTGGCTGTCAAGGCTGACAGTTTGTTGCGGTAATAGTTGTGGCATACTTGGTCCCTCATATTGTAGAACACCTTTTGATATTTCTCCCAATTGGAAGGTCCTTAGTAGTCATATATGGCGGGTGATGCTCTTTGCAGCTTGCTCTTTGGACAGAAACTCTTGTGTTACTGTGCATATACTTCGGTTGGTTCTTAGAAGCTCTACGTCCTGGTAGCAAATCATGGATACTATATGAATGCAAGTGAAAAATTAAAAAATGTCTATGGAATCCATGACTTTACTTGGTGTTCCACGCAACTGACTCTACCCTGGAGATATTCCGTGTTTGTGTGGCCATAATCCTTGAGTGATAGTTCATATTCCTGCCTAAGGCATTCAGGGGCACGGCCCATGTCCTATCCCAATACTGCCTTGCGCTACCGCCCAGAATAACATGCTGATCGAAACCGTGTTCTTTCCGAAGCCACACTGACCCGTCAACTCTCGCACTTTCGGAGTTCCCAACTATTCAGCAGATGACATCTGGTACCATATGATTCGACTGTACCTGAGAATTTGAACCTTGATTCTGTGGCCTCTGGACACATAGAATTCATCCCCGTCTATCTGGCCTTGAGCGCCAGGATCCCGCTCGCTCAAGATGTCTACGGACTATAATTACGATGACCAAGCGCAGTTCTTCCCGTACTTCATTCTCACAATCTCTGCTCTGGTCGCCATACCCACGACATACTCGGTTCTGAAACCCAGCAAAGAACTTGCTGATACCGCAACTCGCATCGAGCCCACCGCCAAAGTCAAATACCAAGATGTGATTGAGGGGCATCGGAAAGTGGAGAAGAGGAAGGAGTTGAAGACCAAGCGCATATGGACTGCTGTATTGGCATGGTCTATGATCGCATACATGTTCTACCTGATAATGGTAACAGCCAGAACAGCTCTCAAAATCTGGGATCCGTATGATGTTTTGGGCGTCGCAAGGGTATGTAACAAGACGTGCAGATGAGCGACTGCTAATAAATTCCTAGAGCGCAACAGAGAAACAAATCAAGTCCCATTATCGCAGACTTTCCCTTACCTATCACCCCGACAAAGCTCAGCCTGATGCGTCGAAGAACACGACCATCGAGAGCATCAATGAACAATGGGTCGAAATGACAAAGGCATTCAAGGCACTTACTGACGAAGAGATCCGCAACAACTATCTCCAATACGGTCACCCCGACGGCAAACAAAGCTTCAGCATGGGCATTGCGCTACCGAAATTCATTGTGTCTGACGGAAACGGCAAATATGTATTACTTATCTATGGTCTACTGCTTGGTGTCCTGCTTCCGTACTTTGTCGGCCGATGGTGGTATGGGCAACAGAAGCGGACGCGAGACAAAGTGCTTGTTGCCAGTGCTGGTCATCTGTTCAAGGAGTATGACCATGAGATCACCGAAGGAGGGGTGATCAATGCTTTGAGCAGCGGTCAAGAATACCAGGACATGCTGGAAGGGAGCAAAGCCGACCATGGAATCTCAAAACTGGAGCAGCGAATCCTGGCACCTGGGCAATTTCCGGCCACCGCCGCCGGTCTTAGCTTGAAAGACCGCAAGAAGCTTGAGGAATTGGACGAGGGAGCTCGCAGAAAGGCGCTCGCTTTACTCTGGGCATATCTTGGACGAATTGAGCTTGACGATAAGGAGCTTGTTTCTGAGCAATACCAGGTTGCACCTACGGCTCGTCTTCTTAATCAGTCGTTCGTATCTATCGCTCTCGCATATATGAACACAGCACCCTTACTCGCCGCATATCATGCATCGCAGCACATTATCCAGGCGATCCCCCCCGGTGGATCACCTCTTCTGCAGCTTCCTTACTTCACGCCCGATGTCGTTAGATCCATAGAAGGCGCAGAGTCACGTACTCATTTGACAGTTCAGGGACTCTTGGAGCTATCGGATGCAGAACGTCGGATAAGGTGTGTGAGCTCTGGCGCGTTGTCCAAGGAGCAGTACAATACCTCCATGGCGGTTGCTTCACAGTTACCGCTTCTCAAGGTCGAAAGTGCGTTCTTCAAGGTCGTAGGAGAACGGTTTATCACCCCGAGCAGTTTGGTACAATTTGTGGTGAAGGCTCGTTTTGTTCCGCCAGGCAAGAAAGACCTCCCACCGGTCGATCCAAAGGAGTTGGAGGATCCCGATCCTGTTGAGGGTGACCTTGATGCGCTCCATGGAAGGAAGAAGGAGGACAAAGAGGCGGAAGCCGGAAAGCCCATCCAGCCACCTCTCGCCTATGCGCCATATTTTGCCCAAGACCATGCCCCTCAGTGGCATGTTTTCTTGGCCGACAGCAAACAAGGCAAGATTGTCGTCCCTCCGTTCTCGTTCTCAACATTCAACAAGCCTCTCTTTGACAAGATGGGTGAGCCCTCCTACGCGATACAAACGCTGAAGATGCAATTCGGCGCCCCTCCACAGGTTGGTCGCTACACATTTACGATGAATCTTGTCTGCGATAGCTATATCGGAATGGACACAAGGCAAGAAGTCACTTTGGTTATCGATGAGGCGTCTAAGGCTCAAGATATTGTCGAGGAAGAAGACATTAGCGAACCGGAAGAAGGCAAGTACATGACCCTGGATTTTGCGGCTTGACTAACTTATGCAGACTCGATAGCAGGCCAAGTGAGCGCCCTCAAGGGTGATCACGTACCGCGGAAGAAGAAGCCTGCTGCAGCTACCGCCGAGGATTCTGACGACGAGAGCGGTACAGACGAGGAAGACGATGTTAGCGAGACGGATACCGATACTGATACGGACGATGAATAAATATCTATACCTAGGATTGTACAGGTATACATCTACTAGGCAGACATCCGTCTTTTACGCGGTGCATTGGGCGGCGTTGAAAGTCATTGACTGCATACTACCGTTGTTATTAGTGCAGTGAAACTTGAGTCACCAGTCTCGACAGAGCAAGGGCTGAGCAGCGTGGTGTCGAAATGTAGATATTAGTAGCAAGTCTTCATTGGACTACCATACGGGTGTTAGCACAATATTAGAGACACAATAGTTTCGACTGTTGATCGTACGCATAGAATATTTTTACCATAATATTGAATAACAGCGAGTCGAAGGATATGTATATGTTCCCGACTTCCTGCTCTATCTACATAGCAGGAATGTGGGCTTACGAACCTCGGTTTCGTATTAGATGCCTCAGGGACAAGGCAACAATCAAAACCTGAAAAGTGGCAGGCACACAGAAGTGGGACCGTCCCCCGCCAGATTCGTTAAGGCTGTATGGCCACTGTTCGCCGCTCAACTTTGCAAAACGTCAAAAAGTTTCTCTCCTGAGACAAAGTGATCAAAGCGCAACAAGGCCATATATACGTACACCGAATCTCTCGCTTGGCCCGTACTAGTGGTCGGCTACACAATCCTCTTCCGTCATCCTCTTCAATCCGGATCTCTCCACGGCCCCGTCTATTTTTTCCGACGGAGCTTGGAAAGCCTTGAGCCTCTACACCCAGTCACTTGTAGCCTGAAAAATGCTAATATCCCAGTGACGCGCGGGAAAGTAGGTGTGTAATCTTCTGTAGCGCGAGAAACCTACAGGAGATCCCACCCCGAGATTTACGTCGCTAACATGACGCTACAGGTATATCTACGTCGCACAGAGCAGGACCTCATTTAAAGGCACGAGAAGTATCTTCGAGGCCGCCACTAAGCTGAAAGCCTTGTATCCGCCCCCCGTTGTTCGTAGCGTTCCCGTACGCATATAGCTCCACGAGGAGACACAAGAGAGTAGTAGTCATGGCTTGGGAACCACAGGAGGAGCCGCTGAAGCAGCTTGCAAAATATCTGCAAGATTCCCTCAATCATGCCGACAAGAATGTGATGAGAAACGCGGAGATTGTAGGTATCATGAAGCCTCGATCACCTAAGGAGACGTCTGATACCTAGCAGATGCTGAACCAAGCGAAAGCAAGCCCAGACATCAACAACTATCTAGCATACTTGTTTGCAAACAGTGGAGCCGCAACGGTCTCGAGCATAGTCCCAGAGTATGTCGATCTTGTGCGAGCCGCTGCCGCCATGATGCTGAAAAATGGTGTTCGGACATCGTATAAGGCAATCCCACAGTCAAGCAAAGACTACATCAAGTCCATGGTTCTACTTGGGATTCAAGATCCTAAATCAAACATGCGAAACTATGCTGGAAACGTTGTCACAGAGATCATACGTCAGGGAGGAGTCATGGGATGGCCGGAACTTCTTCAAGAGTTGATACTCTTGGCCAGCAACGAGAGCGGTAATTCAACACAGCAGACTCAGGAGGGGGCTATGGGTGCCCTCCTCAAGCTATGTGAAGACAACACCAAAGCTCTAGACAAAGATTATTCTGGTACAAGGCCGATAAATCACCTGTTTCCCAAATTCTTGCAGCTCACAACTAGCCCACTGCCAAAAGTGCGTGCGAATGCGTTAGCGAGCATGAATGTTTTCATTGCAGATCAACCTCCGGCGGTCATGTCTAACATTGACGCCTTATTATCACAACTCTCGCAACTCGCGGCGGACCCGAACACCGAAGTTCGAAAGCACGTATGCCGTGCTTTTATTCATATTGCTGATATCAGCCCTGAGCGGATCGCTCCGCATCTTGACGATCTTGTAAAATTCATGGTCTCACAACAGAGAACTGTAGAAGATCCTGAACTTGCGCTCGATGCTGCTGAATTCTGGCTATGTCTCGGTGAAGATGAGAATCTCCGAGATTATCTTGGCCCTTATCTGCCTCAGATCGTGCCTGTACTTCTAGACAGCATGGTATACGACAAGGACGAAGTGGAACGACTCGAAGCTGAAGCTGAGGATGACGCGGACGAAGACGACAACCAGGAAGATATAAAGCCCCAATTTGCATCGACTAAGGACGCCCGATTGACCGCTGCAACGAATGGTGAAACCGATACGAGCACTAATGGATCTGGAAAATCGACTGCCGCAAATTTTGATGAAAACGAACTCAGTGATGGTGAGATCGAGGACTACGACGACTCAGACATTGGAGATCCAGAAGAGCAGTGGAATCTTAGAAAATGCTCAGCGGCCGCCTTGGATGTGCTGGCATCAGTGTTCCACCAACCAGTGTTTGAAGAGACTCAACAGTACCTCAAAAACAATCTTAATCACCCAGAGTGGCCGTACCGCGAGGCCGCCGTTCTTGCTCTCGGTGCCATTGCCGAGGGCTGTATGGACGTGGTCACGCCTCATCTACCAGATTTGACGAATTACCTCACATCACTTCTTAATGATAAGCAGCCCGTAGTTCGCAAGATTACTTGCTGGTCACTTGGTCGCTATTCAGGGTGGGCATCACAACTCGATATGAATGGCCAACAGCAATATTTCGTTCCGGTCATGGACGGCATACTTCGACGAATGCTGGACAGCAATAAAAGCGTACAAGAGGCTGCCGCATCAGCATTCGCAAATCTAGAAGAGAAGGCAGGGAGATCACTCGAGAACTACTGCCCTGTCATTGTTCGACAGTTCGTCGAATGTTTTGCCCGATACAAGGATCGAAACATGTTCATATTGTATGACTGTGTTCAAACACTCGCGGAACATGTAGGCCCGGCGCTTGCGCGACCAGAGCTTATTCAAATACTCATGCCAGCCCTGATAGACCGCTGGAACAAGGTTTCGGATCAGTCGCGTGAGATGTTCCCGTTGCTAGAATGCTTGTCCTATGTGGCAACGGCTCTCAAATCCGAATTTGCACCCTTTGCTAAACCCATCTTCACGCGATGTATCACCATCATTCAACAGAACCTGGAAGCAGACTGGCTAGCGAAACAAGATCCTGGGATTGAGTCGCCAGACAAAGACTTTCTGGTAACGAGTCTAGACCTTCTGAGCGCGATCATTCAGTCTTTGGACAGTACGAATATTACAGACCTTGTTGCTACTTCTCAACCAAATCTTTTCAGACTGATAGCGTACTGCATGGACGATGGCAACAACGATGTTCGACAGTCGGCATACGCCCTTCTAGGCGATTGCGCCATTTACGTCTTTGATCAACTTCAGGAATACTTGCCATCGATATTGGAGATTCTGATAGCCCAACTCGAGCTCAGCCAAGTGTTGAATGATGCTAAACAGACCAACTACTCAGTCGTCAATAACGCTTGCTGGTCCGCTGGTGAGATTGCAATGAGGCGAGGCGCTGGCATGGCCCCCTACGTGGAACGCTTATTACAACGTTTGGCTGCTATTCTGTTCAATAATAAGGTTCCAATCTCTCTGAATGAGAATGCAGCAATCGCCGTAGGCAGACTAGGCATTGGCTGCCCTGATGCACTCGCCCCACACTTATCGCAATTCGGCCCCTCTTTCGTCAAGATTATCAGTCATGTAGACTGGACAGACGAGAAGAGCCACGCGCTGAGCGGATTCATCAACGTGGTTCTCGCCAACCCGGCCGCCATGGAGCACTGCCTGTTAGATTTCTTCGTGGAACTTGCTAGCGCCCCCAAGCATCACGTCGAGAGCGGGTCGTCCGACACGTCAGCCGATTGGCGAATTGCATTTCAAAAAGTGAGTCATCTTTCCACTGCCTCCGCTTTGTTAATCGCCAGCTAATATCTGTATAGGCCATAGACGTGTATAAGGGAATGATCAACAACTTCGATGGATTTCTCCAACAGCTCCCCACAGAGAAGGAGCAACTGTTACGGCAAACTTACCGGGTGTGAAAAGCTTTACTTGAAACGGGATATTTGGCGTAACGTGTGTGGAAGGCCCGATTGTGGTCGATGGGGTATAAGCGCATTGGCAATCGGAGCATTCCACAAAAGGAAGGCATGATCTCAGAAACATTTACATGATGATGTTGTGAGGCATTGATGGTATTGGGCATGATAGACTTTGCAGCGTTCTTTGACCTTCTTCGTTGACCGGACCACGTCGACCCTGGCGAGATCTATGTCCACGGTAATGTCCGTGGATATACTTCTGCGTAGCGTGGGCGGTCTCGAACGATCGACCGAGGATGGTGGTGGTGGTGATGGTGATGGTGATTGTTCCCAACCCCTTGTAGGTAGCTTTAGGTAGTTTTACAGTAACCCTAAGAGGTCAATACCTCTCTGTACCTGTGATGGATCTGGCACACTGCGCGCGCCGACAAAAATCTCTCAGCATAGTCAAACAGATTTCGGCTCCGTCTGACTATTCGCTCATCAGAATAGATGACACGGCTATTGGTACAGCACGCACGCGGCGGTGTCGTTGAGGCACATAATTAACCGACCTCCTGTGCTTGGTTATGGCCTTCCTACAGGATCTTCTTATAGATAGGCAGGCAGGCAGGCAGATATACGAGCCACACCAACAGACGGCTAGTAGGGATAGTACGCGGGTTCATGAAGTCTTCGCGGCCGAGTCTTGCATTTAGATTTTGCTATTCATGCGCTTAGTATGTCCCTTCGGCTCCCTTCTTTAGCACGATAGGAGGCGAAGGATGGGAGGAGGATGGAGGAAGGGATGGATTGAAGGTGGAGGCTAGGTAAGATAGTGAGGTAAATCTAGAGTCGGAAGATAGTCTTTTCAGGCTTCTTTCAATGATCTCTGTTGTATGTAGTATGTACGACGAATGATACTCGTCTGATCGTGAGGCACGGCACGTACGTCAATGTGGTTTTCGACTTGCCAGGGTTGGCTTCTGGGCGGAAACCCGGAGCTGGGGGGAGGTTGTATGTATGTTATGTCCTGCTTAGGTGAGAACTACTGCTCTGGTGATGTGATGTATTGATGTGTGTTTGCAGTGCGTAACATGTTTGTGGGTAGTATGTATGTCTGTATGTAGGGTATGTATCTATCTATTCAGAGAATTGAAGTCAGCCTCGCCGTGTATGGAAGCATGCATCGCATCCTTGTCCTCCCTATCTATCTATCAATATATCTGTTTATGACATCCAACTCTGTCTTTGTTTGCCGCGCCCATACACACAATGCACATAATTAATAGACCTGCTGCTGCCCCCCCTGGGGGTGTGCGGGCCGCCAAGATCTGCTCAGCGCACCCCTGTCGAGCTGAGCCAAGGCCTTAGCGAAATATTAGCGCAATCGGGGCACGAATAGGAAAAGATCGGGTATCTTGGTAGGTGGTATGCGGGATGGGATGGGGTGTTGGGCCGCCCGTAGTTCTAGACTGGTCGGCCGAGCACGGGCGAGTTAGTAGAGCAGGTGGGTGGTGGTTGGTGGTCCGGGAGCGTTGGCTGTTTTGGGGAATGCTGATTGTGGGCTGGTTTGTGTGTAGGCACAGATGCTGTGGATATGGTTGTAGATATTAGGTGGTCACTCAGGTGGCTATGTGGTTTGGTTTTCTATACCGGTGGTTGTTTACTTGGTAACGGTACGGGTTATCCGGTCGTTATTTGGCCCCCAAGGAGCTTTCCATAAAACTAGAAATACATCAAGCTTCTTTTGGTTTAGACGTCGATCACCAGTAATGTTTGAACAGGCATACATGTTGTTCATGCATATTCTTGATGATTAGGCAGTTGGGACACATATGAAGAACTGTTGCTTCAAGCAATTATTCTGCAAGCGAAGTCGAAGCTTGTATCGGCGTTCGAGTGTCGGCCTGACTCCTAAGAGGTATCATGACACACGGGTTGTGGAGTGGCCTTTACTTGGCTTGCATTGTGTTCCAACATATGAGTGCGTCTGTTAGGACGTCGTCTGACCGATGAGACCATCGCTTGTGAGTTGGTGCTTTGATAGATAGACTTCATGATGATGTATGTTTGATCAGAGCGACTGCAAGACCTAACTGTGATGCTGTTCTGAAGATGGCAGTGCACATCGATGAGGTCGGAGATGCATCTGTTTCAGCTGTCAAAGTGTGTTTCAGACGCGATCAACAGCACTATTACCTGTTATCCAAACCCTCAAGCTTTTTGCGAAAACAATCTTTCGGAGGCCAAGCATCGAGGCTCATAGAGATGGTCCGCCCACAATGAACTGGAAAAGCTGTAAAGTCAAGCATCGGACGCCATCGCTTCACCCTGTTCCACCCCCTGCGCAGCGGCTGATCTGCTGCTTGCAAGCTTGGTGGAGGCTTAACTGGTGGAGGCTGCTCGCTTTCCTCTCCCAAGCCATCAAGAATTGTGACAGGTGCATGACCAGGCGGAGGTGGGGATCAACCCGTTTACAATTACTGATTTGGGGGGTCAAAGGCGAGAAAGGACGGCGATGGGCTCAGAGGCGCCGCAACCGCCAGGCATCGTCGCGCTGGCAAGCCTTAGTTTCGGTACTCGTGCCACTAGAAAAAAGCTTGGCCCCGCTTGGAGTTCAGATACAGATACATACATACTGGTAATTAGGCGCACGGGGCGAGGGGGCATTAAGGTTTGCATAATGTTATGATGTTATTGACAGACACTATGCTAGCGGGCGATCAGCAATGCCAGAGAGTATATAACCAGTTACCATTGCATGCTTCTTTACCTTATTAGGTAAGACGCTCACTAAAAGTACCTAAGTTTGTGAAGTTGCGGGGAGAATATAATTTTGACGGATGCATATTATTCGTGGGCATCATGTCCATCCATCCTGGCTCCCATAGGGATTGGGTAGCGTAGTCAAAGTTTAAATTCAGTGACTATTCATCACACGCATTATGTTTCGCCTATAAGTGCTTGCTGTATCGGAATACTCAACACAATCCCATACAATCTTGTGCCGGTCAAAGAGGAAATCGGACGACCATTTATGGGGGCGCCGGGGCGTAAATTTAGTAGCAAAACCTACCACGTTGGCGGAATTGTGTCAAAGCTTCTACAACTTCTCCTCTACCTTTTTCCTTCCAATCACTCCCTCGAATACATGAACCCCCCCCCCCCCCCCCTCCGCTTATTTTACTTGCATCACCGTCATATGTCCCTCGACTACAAGCACACGACCCAACGCAGGCCACTCGCTCCTTACCACATGGAGGCATAACATTGCATCCGAAGTCTGGTCACAACCGGGCAGACTCGCTGTAGTCTGTCCCTACGTGCCAATCTCTGGCATAGCTTCGACTTGCGCTGTACTGCCACTAAAACACACTCTGACCTTTGTGCCATGTTGGCCGTTCAGATTACAGCTTCTAACCATACACATACAAGCTGTATAAGTTTGTTGGTACACCCAAAAGACTCGCTGTATGGCTGTTGATCGTGTGCTAGCTGCATCGTCACCCCCTGCGTTACCTACATGGACACCCCTCCCCCCGAGCATATCCACACAGTAATCCAGTTTCGTGGCCATTCTCGGCCTGGCCTACAGTTTAAAGCGGCCAAGGCCAGGTCTTGACTCAACCTTTGAAGAAATGAATACACTCAGTCAGCACGCAGCCTGTACTGCATGCTTCTTGTCGGCTTGGTCTCCCGACAGTCCAGGTGCTTTGGTCCCTGACTTCTGGTCTCCCCACGAGCCCATGACAGTGCAGCAGTCAAGCAACTCACCGGCCAGTAGCGCGATGACCAGTATTCTTGCTAGTGTCTCGACAGCGCCGTGGCGTTCTGATGTTATGCACGGCGTCTGTGATAAGCGAGACACTAGAGCCCAGAGCAAGGCTATCAATCGTCAAAGGCATTGCCAAAACCTACATGGGCCAAGTGTAAGGAGTGCTCTGTGGGGGTCGATTGACTAGTAGCCGCACATCTCACAATAATTCATTTGGGCACGGACTCGGCATGAGACGCCATAGCGGGAGCCCATGCTTTTCCTATCCGCACATGGCTGCCTTGCCTTGCCAGTGATTCCTGCGACGGTCCATGCGACCGGAATAGAGCTTGTTCTTCACTCAGCTAATAGTTCCCAGTACCACGGGGGCATCGGGACCACTGAGGGCTATGTCATACGAACAACCCTCGCTGCTCCATCTAGATTCAAGCAGCCTGTATCCTTTTTCAGCGTCATATTCCAGCTTGACTGGCATGTTACTGCCTCCTCTTCTATTCCTGGACTCGATATACAAACCCTGGTCCTGACAAGTCTGCCTGAGCTATTGACTCAAGTCTTACCAGCTCGTGGTCAGTCACACGGAAACTCTCATCAAAACAGCCTCGTGAGTGGCTCACCTCATTCCGGGCGCGACTTCTCCACGGTGACAGCAATCAACGTCACATTCACTGAAATTCGACGTTGTCGCACATCCATCCAGTCAACCCTAAAGCAGTAATTGTCCCTGAATTCACCCCGACACAGCGTTGAAACTGCAAATCAGCCCTACCTTATCCACTGGTCACATTTAAGCCTACAGTTACAGAAAGATTACACGAGTCGATTTTAGCACATAGACTTCAGCTGTCGTCGTTCGTGGCCGGGGGCTTTTAACCACCGGCTGCCACGCTCACCTGTTTCAATTTACACTTCCGAAGATCTTCGCCGAACACAGCTATTCCAGCCCCGCGTTCGAACTGACTCTATTTTTTTTCTGGCTTGGCTAGTGGACGTTGATAATTCATATACGGACTACCCGCTTTTGTCTTGAGCCTAGTCATACCTCATCTCTTCACTCAACGACGCCCTATCTAACATTAACATCAAACAAACCATCAACTTTACTACACAACATGGCCGGTCCTGGAGGTGGTCCTTCTCGTCGCAGTCATACTAAGTCAAGGAAAGGCTGTCGTACGTGCAAGAAGAGGCATATCCGCTGTGATGAAGCATTCCCACAATGGTAAGTGTTTGAACGAGCAGATATGGGACATTGCTAATATTTATTCTACAGTCGAAATTGTACCAAACATCAGGTCAGGTGTGATTACATGGATAGTCCCAGTGTATCATCACCAGGCGGTTTCGATGGTACAGCCAGCGCCAATCTGCTCTGGACTAAAGAGATAGAACAAACCGTGGATATCTGGCTGCGAAATGGGGAGTTCCCATTCCCGGAGCTCAGAGTGTATCCACAGCCCCAGTGGCATTCATACTCAAAGACGGAGCTTCGTCTTATACATCACTTGTGCTCGATAACCAATGAGATGTTACGAAATCGGTCAACAAAGTTGACAGTATGGACCGATTGTCTCCCACAGTAAGCGAAGTCAAACCTGTCGGTGCCAGAGACCTGACGATAGCAGAGTGATTTCCCTGGGCGCCTCGCATGCGCATGTCATGCACGCGATGCTAGCATTCTCGGCGTCCCATCTAGCCTGGATATCTCAATCATCGGAAACGCGGCATCTGGCTGGCTACTACGCTAGTCTTGCACTACGAGATGTCCAGCAAGAGGTTGGCAACGTCAATCGATCGAATGCGGATGCTTTATTAGCCTCATCCATGTTGTTGCAATGGGTAGCAACAGACTGGCGTGGGTGGTCTACCCTTGTGGCAAATTCAAGTCACGTAAGTCATCCATCAGGACCAACGATATCAACGACTCACATATACCTTAAGATTATGAATGCAATGCAAGCATGGAAGAATGAATCCATATTCGCGGATTACCTAAACGATGCAAGCTCGAGATATTCACAACAATACATGAATCCAAACGGAACCGTCGTAACCCCTGACACTCACCGTGACCACCTCAACACCCTACAACATATCCACAGCTGCCTTCGATACCTTCTTGCATATCTCAATCACTACGACCAGGAACGAAAATGGGTCGAGCAACTTCTTGGATTCATTGAGCGTCTACAAAATTCTACACCTGCTCAAGCACTTGACGAACAGTTCAGCCAACTTTACGCCCTCCGGAAGTGGCTGTTCTGGGTTCCCATCTCACTGCTCGCTGTTCGCCGCAATGACGCCATGGTTCTCACTGTCATTGCCTACTTCTACGCCACAGCGCTGGCTCTCGAGCCCATGTTTCCAGACGTAGGACATGCCTTCTGCGCATCTTTCGCTCTACAACCACTCGAAGCAATCCTCGCAACTATCGCAACCTACCAGGTCGAAAACGCTTACGACGCTGCTGTGTCCGCAGCAGTAACATGCATTGGCTTTCCCAGAGAAACTGCAGCAAGCTATAGAGCCCGGCGCCAGCGTGATAATCTTGGTGCACTGCATACTTCACCCTCATACTACGATCCCAGCGCCGCACAGCTCAATCTTGCAGGGCCATTCGATCTCGTAGGCTCTGGACCCTCCTTGTCCCCTGCTGCACCATCGCCCCTAAGCTACTACGGCCAGTCCAATCCCTACGACTCGCGACCAACGAGCATCGACTACAGTGGCATGTCCATCAGCAGCAACAGCATCACCAACAGCGCCGGTTACATCTCGCCACATCTCCCGCCTACTGCGCCCGCGCTCTCATATCCGGTATCGCAGGAAGAGGTGGCAGCAGTAGCAGCAGCAGCAGCGTACACGCCCTACCCCGGCGTACAGCTTGCTTACAGCGGGTTCGTGTCCACTCCCGCCGTCTGGACGTAAGCAGAGAATAGACGCTGAACGATGTTTTTGTGTTGCAGGCACCGCCTCTCGCCCGCGCGCCATGCTGCTACTGCTGCTGCTGCTACTACTCCTGCTACTCCTGCTATTACCATGCAGCTGCCGTCGATAATGGACCAGATGCTTGGACACAGGGGCCAAACTCCGGCGGCGCGCCCGCAACAACAGCAACAGCATCAGCAACAGCAACAGCAGTATAATCCTCCTTATCCACCCGGCGCCCCGGCGAATCACCATTGGTCGGCTCGGCAGCACCCGCCTGCAGGATGAAGTTCCAGAACTCACTTCGACTCGCACTCTACTCCCTATTCTCCTGCACACAGAGAGCACATCTTCGGTGCCTCGTCATACTTGCTCGTGGTGTCCTACCAACCGATGCAGAGGGCTGTGGGCATGGTGCCATGGGCTATCCTATGCCTGCAAAGCTATGCCACGCCACGGTACCCATCGTGCGACTTCATATCTTGTTTTTGGCACACTCGTGCACTTACTTGCTTACTACACAACTGGGCATGCGCAATGGGTGGTGCATAGAATTCCAAGGTATTTCCATTTGCAACAGGCATTACATGCATACCATCATTCAGCCGCAGCTAGCGCTCGGGTAAAACACCGTTGTGCTACGGCCAGCAGAAGGACACGCCTGACCATATCGAAGGGATGCAGCACGTTCTCATTCTTATCCGGGGTCTCTTGACTTTGTCTGTATGCCATGCTTTTGTTGGCTTTGCGTTCTGTTACATATTCTATGACGGCTTCTATTCTTGTGAATTAGTTTTGCGAAGAGGTGGAGATCAGACTAGCCCGGTACGGCTCAGAAAAGAATACGCAGTAGAAACATTAGTGGGATACGACGCAATGTAAATGAGTGAGTGAGTGTGCGAGTGTGTGGGTGTATTGCAGATGCTAGTTTGATCGGATGGCAAGTGGAGTTTTTGGAGTCTTGGTTCTGAAGGGAATACCACAAAGAGCGAGCGACATGAGTTTACGATTTTCTAAATACGATATCGCGCATCTGAGAGCGTCTTTACGGTCTTGATTGATATCCAGACAGTATATGCTGTCTGGAAAATAATGATCCTATTTACTACATACTCCATTGATCTTTGAGTTTCTCGTTAGAATAACGAAGGGGGATGCACCAATAGTTACAGGAGTGTTTAAAAGAGGTCAAGGCGGGGTGGGCAACGCAGGTCGACAGAGGTCGAACGAGTATAGCCAATCCGAAGCTGATGGCGTAAAAAGCCAATGGGGGTACAATGCATCTAGAACTCTGCTGCCTGCCTACCTACCTATCTTTGCGCCCTTTGCAAAAGGTGATAGGTGCGATGCTTAGGTGTGTTGCTAGTGCACTCCCGAGTGAACACAATGAAGTCATGACATAACGTTGCGGCCAACTGGATGGATGAGAGCAGCTGGATGCTGTAGCAGAATTGGCGTAATCGTTGTGCCACGATACGGGGTCATCTTCTACGTGATAGGTAGGAGACGGATATAGACACCGCTCCCTTGCACACATACACAAACATGATGGAGACTTGCTACAACAGTGATGTTGCATTCGACGACGCCGATATGATGATGATAACGTTGCATACAGCGACACCGACAGGCATGTAGTGAGTGTTCCAATCGCGTCATCTATCCACCCGAGGCATCGGATGACATGGACGTCTATCCTGGAAACCTCGTGGGGTTGGTTGTAAGAGGTGAATGTTCTGGGACGTCGGGAGTCGATGAACCTATTCTGGGCACAACCCTTGTTTGCTGACCGGCACGCGCAGCTGTAAATATTAACACTGTTGCCTAGCATCCATGTGTCCAGATTATGGATTCCATGCTGAGAGATTGACAGCATGGGGCGGTCATTCCGGAGTCTTCTCCGCCTAGTTTTGTCGACGCAGTATCCCAATAGGAGTATTGCGTGGTCGTGTTCGAGGCTTCGATCGAGCCATGCATGGCAGTCGGAGACTGACGTTAGCTTCAGCTTGTTTCTGCACGTTTATTTTTCCTTGGCTGTCTGCTACCTATCGTTATCAAGAAAATGCAGAGTCTGCGGCCCGTCCATTGCTGACAACGTGGTCGCGCGCGATAGCACACAAATGACAGGAGAGTCGCAGATGGTGGTGGTGTGCTCCTATCACCATACGTGCCCTGGCCTGGAACCTGTCTCCTGGGTCCGGGGGATTGTTGCGGACCCTTGCTGACACGACACTCGAGGTCCCTTTGTTGCAGTGCAGCAGCATGCATTCCTATTTCCAGACCTGTGGACCTGGGTCTGGAATCTGCGCCTACATTCGGAGGTACAGGTATGATCCCAGACTACAGGCACGAGCGAAACGAAATGCGTTTATGGTTGTGTCTTGTCCGTTACGTTCACACCTAGGCCTACGGCTTTGCGGGTAGTCTTGCGGGAGGGAGTCTGAGCGCTCGGAGTGCTCGGAGTGAGAAAGTTATTAGTGCTTTCTGATGGGCGCAAATTCATTGCTAAGCAGCCTCAGCAGCATTCCTCGTATCTGCCGTCTGGTACCTGTATAGGATTCTTGAAGGGTCACTCGAGATTGCTGTTCTGTATGGAAGGGTCAGTTACCCCGGTTCATGTTGAGTATCCGTAGGTGACTGGAATCCTGGCTGATACTCCTGATTCAATCACTTTACTTGTATACAGAGCTTCTAGATGGTCCAACAACATTCGTGCTTGGCTTGGCTGATCCAAATATCTCCACAGTGCGCTTGTTAAGTCCTTCAGCCTCGAGGCCGTGGAGGCGAAGGTATGTCCCACACACATACAGCTGCTGCGGTCGATTGATGGCTAGAAGCTCTCTGCTGGTGATAGGAGGGAATGGCTGTGATCAATCGCTTTACATGATCAGCCGTCGCCGAAGCCGATTCGGGAGTGTTTTGGTCACCGGCAGCCTAAACCTTTAAGCGGCATCGACGGTGCAATAGCCGAATAGGACCGATGATCGGCACGAAGAAGTGATCGGTGTGAATAAAGTAGGCCGTGGTGTTAGAGTATGGAACCCCGGGGGGTGCTTTAGTGTAAGAAATCGGTCGGCCGAGGCGGACCTAGCGGAAAGAAAAGCAGGGGAGGGGGGGAGGGGGTGCTCGGAGGTCGAAGGTCGTCTGTTGACGTGGCGCGACTGCACCATGGACCCTGATTCTTACCTAATCTTCCCGACCGACATTCCTCCGGTAAAATTACAAGCTGATCTCATGGGTTGAAGCTTACGGCGAGAGCTACACACCAGTGGACGCGTTGCACCATTCGATTACCGCCATACTCTAGCTTAACCGTAACTCTATTTGCTGGTTGAAGAGCACCAGCAAGTGACAAGGGGAAGCGATACCTCGCCATGTCGGGAGGCTGGAATACCATTGAATCAGACGCGGTTTGTGCGCCACCCATGCACTCCCACCAAGCTTTGCTATCAATATGCGTTTATAGGCACTCTTGAAATCACTCTCATCTGGTCGTCCACGACTTGGCGTGTCGTCTGATATTATCGCTGATCTTGTGAATACGTAGGGCGTCTTCACCTACCTACTTCAGAACCTCGGAGCCAAGGATGTACAGTTCGAGGAATTGATATCACTAGAGCCAGACGAGTTAAAGCAGCTTAGGTATGCGGAAGTTTTCCGATGCGCTACCAGACGCAGCATCATATGTATCTAGGTCCTGAATCTGACTGCAATTCAGTCCTCTGTATGGTGTAATTTTCCTCTTCAAATACCCAACTGGCGACGCAGCGGCCAAAGCGACCAGAGATGGCACGCTCGACCACGATGCGGCCGACAACATGTTCTTCGCTGCACAAACCATCCAGAATGCATGTGGTACACAAGCGTTACTATCAGTGCTGCTGAATAAGGACGATGAGTTGGACATAGGACCTCAGCTGAAAGAGTTCAAGGAGTTTACCAATATGTTCCCTGCAGAGGCAAGACATCATGCGGACGAGGCCTGAGATGGGGATTCTGACAGTAAACAGATTCGTGGAGAAGCTCTTTCCAACTCCGAGTTGATTCGCACCGTTCACAATTCTTTCGCTCGGTCCTCGCCCTTCATCGATGAGACCCAACGTACAGCCAACGAAGATGATGATGTTTACCACTTCATAGCATATACTTGCGTCAACAATACTCTCTATGAGCTCGATGGTCTACAACCTGCGCCCATTTCTCACGGCCCTTGTACCACCACGTCCTTTCCCGATGCCGTCATCCCTGTTCTACAGAAACGAATTGCACGTTATCCAGCACACGAGATCCGATTCAACCTGCTGGCTATGTGTAGGGATCTGCGCATTCGCGCAAGAGAAATCGGTGATCATGAACAACTTCAAAGGGAAGAGCAGAAGCGGACTGAATGGCTGTGGGAGAACGCACTGCGGAGGCATAACTTCGTTGGCTTCACGGGTGAACTATTAAAGGGTGTAGTGAGGCAGAAACTCAAGGAGGGAACTTATGATCAGTGGGTGGAAGAGAGCAAGAAGAAGACAAGAACGAGGATGGAGGAGAGGAAGAAACAAGGGGTGGCTGGGGATGAGATGGACGTGTGATAGATTGGTTGTTCACAAGATCTCAAAGCTACGTCGTTGCATACTCGAAAACTTAGCTTTCCAACTTTCCAACTTTTCTACGCCGTCATCATACCCTCCCCTTTCTCCGGATCTGCTACCCACAATAACAACGCCAGCCATCATCTAATCGTTTGCAGGTCTCGTCTTCAGGTATAAGCTTGGCGCAGTGTGGGGGAAGTGGAGCCCGCTAAAGATTGCTTAAACAGGGACCAAAGCCGTACGCGAGTTGTATACCATGCAGTAAATAACCTCATGCATACAGATGACTGTGTGGAGTTTGAAAAGGTCGCTACAAAAGTCTCCATACCTTGTTCGGTTCACATGTACTAAGACCTAGGCAAGGCGAATTCGCATGCAGCTGATGCTGAAGAAACTCATTACCGAGTGTGCCACATGGGAAAGCGAGGTCCCTAAAAATGACTTCGCTTGAGCTTGGTACAGGGATCGTGGTCGTGGAGCAGAGTATTTTTCCTAGTTGTCTCACGGCGCCAGTCTTGCGAGGTAGATGTCACCACAATAGGGCCTAAACCGATATTCTCCTCCAATCCGCCTTACCACGCAGAGTCTATAATTCTGCCTACCTACATTAGGAGGCCGCGAAATGGATAAGAGTATTAACACCAAGCACTGGAAATGGGCTTCAGATTGCAGTACTCTCGGGAATGTTAACCAGGATTTGGGTTATTCTATGTACTGCAGATCTTCGGCACTATGGACTGAGAAATACACTTTTACAAAACCTGCCACTTGGGAACCCAGGAGTAAGCATATACACATATCGACCTGATCACCTATCACGGTGACGAAGGCTGTTGAATTTTGTCGTTCTCCTGAGTCCAAAGCATTTAGCTCGTGGAAGCCCCTTAACCCCACGAGATCAGTCACAGATTGATAAGATTAAAACGTCATTGGGGGCTAAACTTTCCGTTTGCGGTTAGACTCACGAACCTCATGCCAATGCAATATCTGCGCAAAATGATTGTAGAAGGGTCCCGAAATACAGATTCGATGGGGTTTTTTCCTATAGAAAAGATATCATTAGAAAGAAAGAAAAGCCCGCCTGCGAGACCCTCACAAGAGAGTTTTTTCACTGAAAAATGCGCGATGTCTCGTTGGAGCCGGTGACCGGGCATTGATAGTGACCCGCGCTACCACCAACCATTCAGGCAGTGTATGAGCGGCGTTGAGGTCCGTCTTGGCAGTGGTGAGCTTTTATACATGTGCACACTTCCTTATTCCTTCATGACCTCTGTTATTTCATACCGCAACGTCTACCGTGAATTCATCCTTCGAAATCCTCATAGAGAAAGACAGCTGTTTGCGACGAGGCGCGGCATATCCTCGCAACCACTGTCATGAATTCCGACCAAGATCTCCGGCACGCTATTTCTATGCGTCCCAGTCCCTTCCACCACCATCCACATCCACATCGCGCATCCTCCTCACACCATGTTCCACAGTCGTCTCAGTCGCATGCTGAAATCGTAACGCTACCAGGTGGCGGAAGCACTTCAATCGAACCCTCCGCAGTGTCCAAGAAGTCAGTGGACGTAAATGCGCGCCACATCACTCATCGACATGATGCCTATGCAAGCGACATCGAAAGAGAGAGTCTACCGCAGTACACGTCTCACAATGATCCATTCAACTTGGAAAGCCGGAAGGTCGGAGACTCGGAGCTTGCGGCTATCAGAGCGAACACATCCAAAAAGCGTGATGGCATCAGTATCGGACCCCTAGCGCTAAGCAAAGGAGGCCGCAAGGCGCAAAAGATCCATGACTTCTATGAGACACAGAATGAGAATATCGACAGGCTGCTTAAGCCTGTTGAGGACCATACTGAAGATGCCAGGAAGAGTGACGAGGAGAATCACTTGCAATACAAGATCGCAGTCACCGGGTCTTTCGTCGCGAACGTTGTCCTAGCTGGTCTACAGCTTTACGGAGCTGCCTCTTCAGGTTCGCTTTCGCTCTTTACAACCATGGCCGACTCCTTGTTTGATCCGTTATCGAATGTTACTCTGATTCTCTGCAATCGCGCAGTCAAACGCGTCGACCCTCGCAAATTCCCATCTGGCAAGGCTCGTATTGAGACCGCCGGAAACATCTTCTTCTGCTTTCTAATGGTATCAGTCTCTCTTATAATTATCGTCATGTCCATACGAGAGCTAGTGGAGGGCTCCAAAACAGCAACCAACGGCTTCCATCTTCCGTCCGTGATTGCTGTCGCGGTTGCCTTCTGCACCAAACTTGGTCTCTTCTTCTACTGCTGGGCGCTCCGGAACACATACTCCCAGATCAGAATTCTCTGGGAGGACCATCGCAATGACTTGTTCATTAATGGCTTTGGTATCTTGACTTCCGTCGGTGGATCCAAGCTTCGATGGTGGATTGATCCAATGGGTGCCATCATTCTCTCGCTCCTAATCATCTGCCTCTGGCTGCGGACCGCTTGGAGTGAATTTCAATTACTCATTGGGGTTTCTGCAGATACGTCAATGTTGCAGCACATTACGTATATTTCCATGACCCATTCTCCTGAAATCAGAGCCATCGATACTGTGCGTGCATACCACAGTGGACCACGCCTGATTGTTGAGGTAGACATTGTCATGGAACCCGAAGAAACCCTGAAGAGGACTCATGATGTTGCTGAAGATCTGCAAAAGAAGCTTGAGAGTCTACCTGATGTTGAACGTGCGTATGTCCATGTCGACTATGACACGGACCATCCTCCTGAGCATTTCGTCGTAAAGAAGGATGTTTGATGGATCATAAGTGGCGTTCATCATTGGAGCGTATCTCATGAGAGTTATCGGATTCCAAAGCCGTGAAATGATACATCCTTTACTAGTTTTACCTTCGACGGACGTACCTACTCAAGTCAACCTATGTTTTCGCTTCAAACATATGATAGCACAAGATCTGTACTGTATCTGAGTACAAAGCAACATGGAAGTGCTCTCGCTCCTCTACAGGCGTTTAAGCCTGGACAACATTGTCCCACACGTACCATCCCACGCTTCCCCGCACGTGCGTTCAGCCATACAACACCACAACCTTGAAGCTTCCCCGCTACAACACGCCATCTGCGAAGTCACAAGTAGTATCAGCGAATCACTCAGTTAGACCGGTCACCTTCACAAATGCCGTGTGCCACGAGTGCCGTCCAACATGATGTCGTCTCGAGAGTGCGTGGGATGCTTCACATATACTTAGGCACGCCACTATGGCATATTCTAGGAGTGATGTCCTCTGTATGCTTTGCCTAATACAATGGTCGAGCAACTCCATGGTGCCTTCTTCGATAGGAATAGTCTCCCTGCGGACATGCTAATGCGATGCCATCAAATCGCAATAGGGCTTTATCCACATCACCAGATAGAATTTCCCGAAAAACAAGGTTACTGCAGCTACACACTGATCCTCGTCGACGCTCTGTCGCCGACGAAGGCGTCCAAGATTCTACAATTCAAGCCTCCACCATTCCGCATCAACATCGCCATCGCTGATGCCGCGAAAGATACATATGGCCCTCTCGCACCCGCCGTGAAAGAAATAGGCTCAGTACCCATCGACCATGCCGCAGCCAGCAAAACACGTCTGTACGTCTACGAGATGGAGCACATCACCGGCACCCCCCTAAGCTGCTCCACGCCGACCCTCAAACACCGCGAAACCCTAGTCGCACACTTCGCACACTTCATCGCCAGCGCCTGGCCGTCCACATCCCAGCTCACCTCGCAAGCCCATCTCCAGACCGGCCTGATCGGATCCAGCATCATGCCTCGCCTGACGCAGCTCGCAGCCCAGCTACCCACCCTCACCCTCCGCCACGCAGCGAAGCGCTGCATAGCGCGCGTCCAGGAGCTCAGTCGGTTGCCCGTGGTGTTGAACCACGGCGACCTGATCGCGTCGAACATCATGGTTGATGCGCGGACTGGTGCGCTGTGTGGGCTGGTGGACTGGGCGGAAGGCGAGCATCTGCCGTTTGGCATGTGTCTGTACGGACTGGAGTATCTGCTTGGTGCGGTCGACGAGGGATCGGGCGCGTTTGTGTATGTTGGCGGTGCGGAGAGGCTGAGAGGGCTGTTCTGGGGCTTGCTTGGTGAGAGCGTGCCTGTGCTGCGGTGTGAGGAGGCGGTGCTACGTGATGCGGTGCGGCTTGCGCGGGATGTGGGGGTTTTGCTCTGGTTTGGGTTTGCGTTTGATGAGGGGAGGATTGATAGGGTTGTTGATGAGGTTGGGGATGCGAGGGAGTGTGTGCTTTTGAGGACGTTTTTGGGCTTGAATGAGGATAGTAGGGCGTGCTTGTAGGCTGGGTCAACTAGTGGATGTTGTAGGCACTGTGATCATATAGTTCATGTTGAATTTATACGTTTCAGAGTGTTCGCTACGAATAGTCACAGAATAGTACTCGACTACGAGCTTCACTGGTAAATAGTATGCTCCTGTACTGGGAATTGTGATGTGTGAAGTGTAGATCGGATATAGTTTCTTGACCTGAGCCTTCGAGAGAACATCGATGGAGAGAACAATGCCATAATACTGCTAAGTTAAGAGAGCAGACCAAATGCATGTAACGCAGGTTCACCGCAAATCATAAAAGAAAATTGTCTAATTTGCCATATAACTTATATTATTCATAAACCCAGTGCATATGAACCACTGTCCATCGCACCTGCTCTCGTGATTAACATGACTGCCATAAGGATGTGCTTCGTAAGAACCCACGGAGATATTGACGACTGCATGATTTGAGATATGCCTCCTCGGTTCGTCGTCTGCAAGAAAGCAGTGAGGGATATCTATCCTAGGTTCCGTCATTGCCACGTCCTGTAAGCAGAATTTACACCGAGGGAGCCTTAAGAATGGACTTTATGTCTTCAGGAATGCATGTTATACTCGTAGATCTGGTAATTGCGGAATGTGCGATGTCGGACTAGCATTACGTTTCGTTACCATGCAGATAAACATCAGCATGTAGAACAACACCCCTTGTTTATGAATATATCCGGTAGGAATGTGCATTCTGTGCTGGATCCCTCACCCCTGAAGTCAACTCCCTCCTACTCAATACTCTCGAGTGCATCATTTGACCGTCACAACTTGACGTCGTCGCCAAGTCCACCGTTGCAACATTTGTAGCTCAAGCGTAGAAAGAACTTAAACCTGTAGTCTTGGTTATATAGCACTACATCATCATAATAAGAGGAAATGTGAAGCTGCAGTCTCACATACAACCAATCCATAGTAGAGAGCTATACTATGCTATACACATCAACCTATCCCAAAAACTTCAAAAGCCAACGCCGTGGCACCAAACATCTCAACAAACCCTCTCAAAACACAGACTCCTCTCCCCACCACCAACTACAGAAACCACCACACAGCCGTCAAAAAACGCAATAAGCCACACCCAAGCCCAAAACGCCACAATACACCTACCGTCCAAACTACAACAACATACGCCATCATCTCCAACCCCCTCCCTCCCCAACGCCCAAGCCATGTGCTCCCACCCAACACCACATACCAACAAAGCACCACCGCACAAACCTCATTCCATAGACACGATATACAAACAATATACCAGCCCCCCCCCACCTCATTCCCAAGCAAATTACAATCCGATCTACCCTCTCTGTAACTTCACCACGCCTCTTACTAGCGTACGCCACGTCTCCCCAACGCCTTCTCCGGCTCTGACACGTTCATTGCTGCGCCGTGGCTTAGAGTTTCTTTGAATAGTGCATTGGTGCTGGGTGGATGGGGAGATGAGTATGTATAGCAGCGATGGTAAGAATAATGATAACAATAACAATAATGATGACACGGGCGGTGTGTGTATCAGTCAGTGGCATGCGGCGCAGGAGGCGCTCCTGGCCCGGTTAGTAGCCGAGCTATGTAGACGAGCGTGGTACGGTGAATATGAGCAAGTTCCTTGAGTCGGCTCTGCATCTGAACTTGTAGACTCTAGACCATTCTGTCTTGACATGGTCGCGGATTTCTCCGTCTTGGGAGGGTGTTGATTTGGGGGGGTTTCTAGAGTGTAAGACGCGTGACCCATGGAGGACCAATTCGTGAAGGGGCCCGCGTTTTCACGATGCAAAATACCAGATGTAGATTTGAACATTGTGTTCCTCGCTGCGGATATGGTATCTAGTACATACTTCTTTCTCTTCCAACATGCGTGGCAACTATAGCAAACCCTGCCCGCTCTGTAATGGCGCGACATGCCAAACCTTAGACTAGGGGAATAATTACAATACATAAGGTACTAGGGGCGTCTCGTCCTTCTGGGCAGTCGATGCAGTCGCAACACTTCTGTAATCGCCTGTATGAATCCAATCCAGATGCGGCCTGAAATCATGCAGACCATCAGGCAGCTTTCAGAGAAACAGTTCGAAATCGACAAAGATTAAAACAAAGTAAAGGCTTTTAGACAATGGTAATTCTCCGCGGTATTCCCCAACTCTGGACACCAACTCCGTAAACGTGATCATGATGAGGCAATTACACAAGTTCGGGACGGTCGTGGAATAGTCGTGGCGGTGGTATCGGCGCAATAATCGAGTAGAAACAGTGAATGAAATTCGTAGCAGTGGCGGCGGATATCTCGGTGTAGAATCGAGCGCACTTTATCCAGAGTTGCCTAGATAGTTTCAGGCAAAATTCGAGCAAAATGTTTTTCCCAGATCCAGCCAATCTTCTTGCTTGCATCGTCCTGGTTACGGGCAAGCCAAAGTTCACCTTTGGTACCAAGAACATCAAAGACCTCCCCAGGGACATAGACCAGGTAAGGATAGCCTCCTTCGCGACGATCATGTGCAATATTAAACTCAAACAGGCTGGCAGCGAGGAAGAGAACATCCGGATCTTTGGAATCGGAGCTATCTGGGCTATCAGCACGAGTGAGGGCGGGCGAATCTGACATGGGCATGGCAGAGGAGAATATAGAAGAGGACCGGCCGTTCGAGGATCGATTGGCAGTGTCATAAGTAGAGCCAGTCGGTGGGCGGTAGTCGCCGGTCTCGAGACTTTGGCGTCCTTGTAGGAGCAAAGAAGGATCGGAGCGAGCCGTGGAGGTCGACGGGCGAGACGACGGGAAGATTGTAGCTTCCATGAGAGATAGACGTGGTGTGTTGGAACCACTTGATTGTCCAGTACTAGATCGATACCTTGCGCGAGCAGATAACTCACCGGAGCCATCAAGCTGGGGAGGATAGTGGGGAAGTTGTGTAGCAGACGAAGATGGCTGATAGCGCCCACTGTGGGCAGCCACGCGATCATTCGCAGCCTGTGAAGTATGGTGAGGCTGCGTACCAGGAACGATGGGTGGAGACCATATAATGGAGTTGACAGACTTGTCACTGCTCATTGATTGAGTGCGGCTTCCAGTGCGACGTCCAGTATCAAAGTCGTCCGTCGTGATGCCTGGAATGGGTGACAGATAATTAGGTATCTCGTTGACGAGGGTTCGGTTGCATATGGCAAGCTTGTTGGCCTCGCTTGGCATAAGATTGTAGTCGGTCTTGAATTCTTTTTCTAGATTTATCAGGTCTTGGTTGAAGTCACCCGTGGGTCGAACATCGTAGATCGCAGTCTTAAGCTTCTTGTGCCAGATGACCTGCCAGGTGATCTGTATATCAATCAAATTTTTGAGAACGCTTTCGATGAGTTTCTTGGTGAGATTGTAGAGCTTGGGAAGTTCGAGCTTAAGAGTGTCGCTTAAAGCTAGCCATTGCTCCCCCGATTCGATCGTCTTCTTGTCCATTTTTTCTCCCTTATCTTTCAAAGCTTTGTAACGTAAGTAGTCTCCCATCTTCTTTTTCCGCCTGTACATCATAACCTGAGGGTTGTCGTGCAGCTTCCACAATTGTTGGATAGGCTTGATGACAGACTTTTGGACAACAGCTTTCTGTGCTTAATCAGTATTCTTTGTTTCCCACTAGGCGGCCATAGAGGAGAGGAACTCACATGTTCAGGTAATGCAACAAGGGCGATCTCTTTGTAAACCTGTGCATACTTGCGCCATTTGCTCTCTAGCTCCGGATGAGTGACTCTGGGCACATCTCCTAGGTGGCCAACAGCGGCCCAATCGGTGACAGTATTGACAAAGGCACAGGCGGTATCCATATACGTCTGTAATTCTGCCATATGCTTTTCAACATCCCTCATGACAATCTGAAGTTGGAAGAAATGGCCACCGAATTTTTGTGCGATGCCGTCATATACAGGATCGTCAACGGTAGTTCCAAGGCCGACTTGGTCTCTAAGGACCTCTTTGCGGCGGCCGAGTGCTCGTCCAAAGGCGGTAGACATATTCGGCTTGTCGCGCGCTTTTTGATATTTCAGATTGACCTGGGTCATCAACTCTTCACGTTTAGTGTTCTCATTGATGCGGGTCGAAATTTCAATGATTTGCTTCTGGACTTGTTTGAGCTTGTCATAGTCAGGGTGATCCGGATTTGTGCATTCCACGAGCCCTGCAAGTATAAGTGGGTATTTCAAAATGCGCTGTGTCGGCTTGACTAGTAAGGCGTCCAGGTTCCAAGCGCGTGTTAGGTCGTTTGACTGTTCAATGCAGACATCCATCCATGTTTTCATCTTCGGTCCGGATTCTTTGCCTGTTGTTAGTTGAAGCAAACGCTCGTTGGCTCTTCCATGATTCTTTATGTATTCACCATATACAGACTCCATTTGATTCAAGGATCGATCCATGAAGTGGCCAACTCTTGTCTTGCGATCGCGTTCTGGGTCCAGATGCATCACTTCCGGGTTTCCTTCCGCAATGTCGTTTTCGTTCTGACCCCATATCTTGTTACTGGCCTTGGGGACGTACACAGGTTCAATGGCTCTCTTGATGGCGTCTTTCATGTCGGCAGAGAATCTGCGCACATATTCACAATTTGCGAACAAGGCCTTTTTGTCCTCCGCCGTCATGACCATCTCGGCGCTGTCTCTATAGATCTCAACCATGATGACAAGATCTTGGTGGTAGCTGTCTTCTGTGTCGTAAAGTTCGCGCATTAGGTTGCGCCTCTTAAGGAGCCGTTTGCCTTCTGGGGTCTCTTTATCAATGGTGACAACCGGCGTGTAGTAGGCCGGCGAGCGCTTTTCTTCGCTGGACGTTGACGGTCTGTCAGATGCGGCCGATCGAAACGATTTTGAGGGTGACTTAGATGGCGATGGCGCCTCCCCCTCACTAGGCAGAGCATAATCACCCGGTATGGATAAGTCTTGTTTAGAACCTTGGCCGAGAGCATGTCCAGGATCCATTGCTATCACGGAGAAATTTGCAGCTTGAGATTCGCGGCTGTATATGCTCGGCGTAGCAGGCGAGTACATCGCACCATCAACAACGGGAGGCATCCGTCGGCCCGGGATCGATGGAGGTGAGTTTATTGGTACGCGCAGAGGCTCATCAGGGGCTGTGACTTTGATGGCGAGGCCAAGACCTCCCCCAGTGGCTGGTATCTCGGGCAATTGGTTGTCATTATTCGAGTCTTGACGGTTGTTTGCTCGACGCGATTGTGCTGCATAGCCAAGCTGTGCAGCCGAGACATGATCTGGCGAAGTCCTCCACTGTGAGTCGATCACGTGATCCTCCATAGCGCGTTCGCGTCGCCTTTCCTCCTCGAAAAGTTGTTGTTCTTGTCGTTGCTGTTGCTCCCATGGAGCTCGGCTCACACCCTCTCTAGAATACCTCTGTGGCTCCAAGATGATCGCAGTTCCGCCGGAGCCATCGTGCTCGTACTCTTCCTCGCCGGCCGTCGTATTATGGCTACGTCTGCCTCGCTCCGACCACACTAGAGTCTGCGAATCGTGGCACACGGCCTCGTCGACATCGCGTATTACACTCTGCAAAAAGGCGATGGCCTCTGGCTTTGAGGACCATGTTCCTTGTGCAGCAACATCAGCCGAAATTGATTGCCTTACCTGCTCTTGTACCTCTCCGGCAACGTCTTCAGTTACATCATTCACCTCATAGAAGTCAAGGAGAGCCTGGAGACTTTTATACGCCTCGGCACTAATCGTTACGCCTGTGGATAGACGGACCGACTTGAACTCTCCCGCGAGATGACCAGTTTCGCTATGTTGTGGTCTTGAGGCATCTATGGGTGAATCATCCTCCTGAAAGAAAGTTGCTCCAGCACTCGATGGAGAAGGGTCCTCACTAGACCCATGCAGCAGATATGGTCGATCGGTAGTGGAACTATCATGCGGTAGCCTCACAGAAGGTCGAAGTGGTCTTATCGCCAATGGTTGATCAGACGGACCAGCTCTGGAATAGTTTTCCGACCAATGTTGATTGCGAATGCTTTCTGGACCTGGTGTCTCTGCTAATTGCACATATATGGATTCCAGATCATCCTCACTGGTGTTATGCGAGTAGGTTGTGTTTCGGTGACTACCAGTACCAGCACTAGGTGGGTTGCTAGCATCATTGCGATACTGGGAAATTCTGGATCCGTCTGAGGCGCCATCTAGCCCAGTCGAAAAATCGTCTTGGGTATCGATATCATCACCGAAGACGTAGTCAAGTTCTGGACCTGAGCTCCGACCTGGTGTTTGGAGAGCCGGATATCCCTGGTTAGATCTGGATGCCTCCGTGTCCTCACCTTCAGCTCGCGGAATGGCTGGGTCGTATTCATCAGTCACAGCCTCCGAGTCCATATATGGTGAGTTGCTGGGAAACTGTCCTGGCATGCCTAATACTGGAGACTCATCGGCTTCGAAATTGGTATTACCTGATGATGGCTCTGTGTTGTTGGCTGCTACGGGGAGGTGGATTGTCTCGACTTTGAGATCAATCCCCACAGAGGACACCGCCGGCTCAGTCCGAGCAGGAGCTTTGACCGTCTCTGGCGTCACCTCTATAGTCGGACTCTGTTGTGCACTACTAAGACCACTCTTTTTCTTCCTCAATGGTATTGATCGTTTTTTCAGGCTTTCCTGTGATGAGCTCTCAAACAGGCTTCGACGTGCTGCGAAATTCGCGCCTCCTAAACCAGTGCTGCCCTTCTTTGCGTGCACTGGGCTCTTTGGTTCTTTGGGTCGATTCGTGGAGGCTACTGTCGGTAATGGCTGTCGACTTCGAGAGGTACGGAGCGGTGGTGACAATTTCGGCAAAGAAGGATGTATGACAGCTTTCAAGCTGCTGCCGTTGGGAGAAGACACAGGTGTTCCTTCATAGCGTTTGGCCATTAATATCGTGGGCGGTGTCTTGGGTCTACCATTGCATTTTGCTGCCTGTGCTCTCGACTGTGGGCCAGTCGGGAGACGCGAGTCCTTGGGAGGTGAAGCAGATGTGTAACGTGACTCGCTGACAATCGACCCTGTTCGTGAAGAAGTCGATGAGCCGGACTCAGAATGTCCACTTGTCCTCTTTGAACGGACAGGGATTCTTGAACGAGGGGATCTACTTCGATTCGGGGACACATCCGTTGACGCGACATATGGTTGTTGTGTGAAGTTGTATGCTTCACTTCGCGACTTCCGATGTGCAGCAAATCCGGATCCACTTGCGTGGAAGTCATGAAGATCTGTTATTGGCGACGCGTCTTGGTAGGATCGCGTTCGGCTATGGCCCCCTCGAGGAAACATGGCATTTGGTCGATGCATGCTTCCGTCTGTCCAAGTCTGCTGCTCTCCTGGATGAGTAGGAGCCCTCGATAAATCGACCATACCATCTGGACTCAATGCTATTTCGCCAAATAACGCAGGTCGTGAGGGTCTGACGGGATGCTGATGCACTTGTCGATGTGGTGAGCGTAGCACAGTCGCTGCCAGATCTTGATCCTTTGCGCCTGAAAGACCACCTATTGTGACCGAAGGACCCATTGCGGGAGGGTACTGGCCTTTATGTTTAGGTTTGAAGAGTTTGTTCGGCTCGCCATCGTTTTGAGAAAGGCTCACGGGGCTTGTAGGATTGGAGGTCGATTTCGAGGGGGTTGATAAAGCTGGAGGCTTTGAGCCGAGTGAGGCACGCGCAGGACGATAATATCTTTTCGTAGAGTGCGCAGTACTCGATACTGTCGGTTGATTGAATCTGTCAACAAGGTTCCGAACCTGTTGACGATTAGTGGATGGCAATGTGGTCGTCGACTTGAATGTAGGTGTTGAGCTTGCGGGGCCCGAAGCTGAGCGGAATCCTGGTCTTGGAATTGTTCTGGTGCCATTTGGCTGTGATGGACGTTGCCTAGCAGCAGATGTCATGCTGTTGTCTACGACTAGGTCATTCGAACGGGAGGCAGATGTTGGGAGGCGATAAAAGTCGTGGGGATCTGTGAAGTTCGAGCTGTTCCTGTCAATACCGAACACGCCAGTGACGTGTTCAAAGTCCGGGGTTTCGCCTTCGAAGTAGGCATTGACAGCAGAACTGTCCCAAGGCTCGTCTAGGCGGTCTTGAGGAGAGAGGCGCGACATGACTGTCGATACTCCAGCATAATTTCCGGTTTTTCTGCTGAGGTATTCCCCGGGGCCAGTGGGAAGGGCGGGACGCGAGCTGGCCGGACTTCGCACGCCAATCGACCAAACCTGACTGGTTGGATCAGAGACAACGAGGCGATGCTAAGCTGGATATTCTTCCGGAAGAAGGTTGCAGGGGCCAAGAGGCGTGTCCAAGTCACTGCCAGCAATGAAGCAACGAGGTCGTTGCATGAACCAATGAGCCTTGCAGGGCGCGGAATGGCAATGGGTGCCGGTGTTTCGAATCGAATGGGCGGCAAGGGTATGTATAGGGCAAAGTATGTGAAAGCAATACTGTCGCACCGATCTGACCGCAAGATCTGAAGGAGTTGAGGCAGTGAGAAAGAAGAGGAGTCGGTGGGGTGGTGGGTAGAAAGAGTAGGTAGTGGTGTTGTAGACGTGGTTGAGGTGTAGGTCCGGTAGATCGATCTCTTGGGGCCCTGCACTATTACTTCGCAGAAAGAATGCCTTATATTCCAGCCCGATCCGCTCACATACTCCACTACCTAACTCGTTGTACAAATGGAAAGAAAAAGCAATTACAGGGCACATTATTATTAGAAGAGGATGACGACGATGACTTGCTCTTCCACAGTATGTCTTCGTCCACGCCAAAGCAGGATTCCCTTGAGACGGACGGGCTCTGGTAAGTGGCTATGGCCCTGTACGTTCGCCTATACTCCGCAAACTACATCAGGAACAGTTCATGGCGCCTGCGTAGTGTTACGAAGCTCTGCTCGTCCGCAGAATAGGACGTATTTTGCGCTGAAGACGATCCAGAACGACTGTGCGCGCTCTTTGCCCTCAGACCCACTGTCCCACAAGCCGCTGGGATACACCATCGTAACGAAGCCAGAAAAAGTCATCTTGAGCCTGGGAAGACTTGAGGCGCGTCAGGGGACATGGCTGCTATGGAGTTATAAGAGCCAGGGAACATGACTAGCCTCATATACTGTATCTTTGACATTGCCATGCGGCTATCGTACTCAAAAACGACGCAGAGGGAAGAGGATGTAGACAGGCATCCAAGGCACAGATCACGGAGCATGGAGCAGCCCTGTATCACGGATGGAAAGCAATGATTGTTTATTGTCATGGGCGTGTGTATCATTACCTACCACGTACTAACGCTGCCTTTCCCAGGCTCTCCTCCCGCCTTTCCGCTGGGTCTCGGCTGCTCCTCCAGCTGGGGGCAGGGCGTGGGCGGCGTGGGATGATCAGCGGAGCAGCTTAATAAAAGTCAACTAATTATGTACCTGGGCTCCCCCTAGTCCCTACCAGGCACATCCATAGCTATAACTAAAAATGTAATAATTACATCCTGAGTGCTTCTTGCCTGAACCTCCTCAGGCATCATTCATCATCGCACGTGCTAGCGCGTCTCTGCGCGTCCTCCGGGAGCGCGTTAAGAACAAGAACGTCTCGTCTTCTTAATGGGCTTTGGCCTAAAATTTGACATCCATCCTCTTCTTCCATTGATCAATTCCCACGTGCTCTGGTCTAGCTAAGATAACTGCAGCCCTTCTCACGCGCTGGCTCCATATCTACAACGCTCGCCGGTCGTGTCTTCACTGCCGGGAACTGGAGATGGCTAAGAGAAAGCCTAAGACAAGCACTCATTCACCCTCAAAGAGACCAAGACTTGATCCAAAGCACAGTTCCATACTTAGTCCTTCTAAAGATTGGGTCGATCACCCAGTGTTATCTCATTACTACCCACGCGTGCTAAGCCTTCGCCAATACCTCATAGACCAGCTCCCAGCGACATCGAAGAAGCGCAGACGGCGGATACTTCATTGTGGAAAGCATGGCCCCGATCTACTTGGGAATGGAAACGGTATTGATGACATCGTCGTGCGTGAACTGCTGGACAGCACGTTGATCGGACAGCCCCAACATGCGACTCATGAACATATCAGTGAAAGCATCCCTCGTAGTGAGATGCAAGCCTTTACGCAGCAACTATCTGGATCTACGGCTGGAGTGGACAGTAGAACAGCTAATTTCATGCAGTCAGAAGTGAGTTGACTTTCTTTCAGTACTTACCATCAAAGGCCAAGCCGAATTCTACTTGTGAATGCATCATTCGTAATTGATGATCAATACAGGTTGTTGACTTTGTGATATGGCTGCTCTTCCGGAGGAACACGTCAGCACCAAAACCATCTCACCTGCTTTGCACAGGGTTCCAACGTTGCCATTCGCAAACTCGAGATACCGATCATGTTCGTGCGGTGCCTGGAATTCCCGGTTTGATGTACAGTGTTCGCAATTCTCACGTGGACACCATGAAGAATGCTGCTTGGAGCTCAGTATTACAATGTCTGGGGGAAGGAGGTCAAAAAGTCATGACGAACCTGTTACTGAACTGTGGTATATTTATACCCATTGAGGCCAGCCGTGGTTTTTATTATCAACTTAGTGGTAAGTTGCTAGGATCACCCAATAACTGTAACCGCTGAAATAGTAGGAACTCCTTTGATTGAACTAAAGACCTCAGCACCTCTCCAGCGGACGACAGGACTACATCTGAAAGCCCTACCACCTCGAGTATTAGGAGCTGTACCTATCAAACGACCTACTAACATTAAATTCATAAGATCCAGGATGATGTATGCTAAAGCATCCTTAATTTCAAACGGACAAGTACGGTTTGGCCTGCAGCGTATTCGTGAGTAACAATGTGAGTCAGGCTTGACAATCTTAACTGTTACCTCAGACATTTTGAACCGTCTTGTGGACCTGGATGATCGGGAGCAGCTCGTCCATTTATTGAAATACATGTTTCCTCGCCAGTTTGGACTCCATAACGCCTTTGTCTCACAGATTGACTCTCGAGACACGGCTCTTGGACAAAAAGATTACACACTCCGGGAGAAAGAGATATCACGACAGTACGTCGGTAGATCAGCCTCCACCATACGGAGACTAAAGACAAACATCCCAAGGCGCTTGCGAGGGCACCCAGCGCAGCTAGTTAGAAATCTTCATAGACGACATGGACGTTGTGTGTATCAAGAGGTCTTGCGTTACTACTGTCCTGTCCAGGTAAGGGGTGTTTCCCTTTTGGAGTCCTTGTCCTAACCGTACTCGGCAACAGACTTTAGACAACGTAGACCATGGGCGACGTAATTGTCCTAGGACTTTTCGTAAAGCTGGGACTGACACGTATTCCGATCCCTTGCGAGATAGTATACCTCACACGCAGGTCGCCTTCACTGACCTTGCTTCTCCTATCTCGCATGTGTCTGCGTTCTGTCGAGCAATCATCACAAAAGTGGTACCATCACATTTCTGGGGAGACAATGAAACTTTGACGCACAACTATTACACGATAATGCGCTATATCGACTGTTTCATAGGCCTCCGTCGATGTGAGAGTCTTTCGATACATCAGGTAACCCAGGAGCTCAAGGTAAGTGGTGATTACTCTGCAGGTGCTCTCAGACAGTTGATTATGCCAGGTACACGATATGTGTTGGTTGCGACCTCCTCATATCCCAAGACAGAATAGAACGTCGGCGAGCGATATAGGCAAGCGACGAGAAATCTTGCACGAGTTTGTGTACTACCTGTTCGATTCAATCCTAATCCCGCTGATTCGCTCAAATTTCTACGTTACCGAATCAAATGTACACAAGCAGCGGCTTTTTTATTACCGTCATGATGTGTGGCGTATGCTAGCTGAGCCTTCATTGAGCCTCATGAAGGTGAATATGTTCGAGGAAATCAAGGGAGAGGGTGCGTCCAAAATAATGGCTTCGCGATGCTTAGGATACAGCCACGTTAGACTTTTGCCGAAAACATTTGGGGCACGTCCTATCATGAATCTCAAACGACGAATGCAGATCAACAAGAACGGCAGGGTCATCCTGGGATGTAGCATCAATTCAACATTGGCCGCGGCATTTAGAGTGCTGAACTATGAGAAGGTGAAGTTACCACCACCAAAGATGGAACTATGCTCATACTACCCAGACAAATAATCCGGAGAGGTTAGGCTCGTCTTTGTTTTCGGTCGGAGATATCTTTCCACGCTTGCGGACGTTCAAAAGTAATCTTCTAGAACATGGTCTTTGGGGGAAGCGACTATATTTTTGCAAGGTCGATGTGGTGTCATGTTTTGACACTATACCCCAGCAGCGACTTGTAGAAATAGTCGAAGACCTCATCAGTGCCGAAGAATATGAAGTCCACAAACAGGCTGAAATCCGACCAGCGGATGGCCTTCGCTATTTTACCGGACTAAACCACGCTTCAGTTCCTGTCACACGCTTCAAATCGATTGCTGGACCTGTTGACCAGCGTGTGCACAAGGGGTCCGAGCTTACAAAAGCACAAACAATTCTCGTCGACCTCTCGGTACAGCGACCAGATCGCAGGAAGCGTGTGATAACGCTGTTACGAGAGCATCTCACAAAGAACTTGGTAAAGATTGGGAGGAGGTTCTACCGGCAAAAGAATGGCATACCACAAGGGTCCGTTGTGTCTACACTCCTGTGCAGTCTGTTCTATGCCGAGCTGGAGCAGGACTATCTCTCGTTCGCGTCCGAGCGAGATAGCATGCTTATGAGATTACTCGATGACTTCCTTCTTATTACGACAGACAGGAGTAAAGCAGAACGATTCTTGCAGACTATGCATGATGGAAAGAAAGAATATGGAGTCCAAGTCAAGAAGGAGAAATCATTAACCAACTTTCCTGCGAAAGTGAATGATACATGTCTTGCAAAGATAGGCCCTGGCGGCCAGTTCCCATACTGCGGCATTCTGATCGACACGGCCACGTTGGAAGTGCAGAAGAATCCGGAGCGACCAGTAGGGACTAGTAAGATCCTTCTTGGATGCAGTAGATTATCAGAATCAGTACTGAAACTAGTTACAGCAGCAGGGGACGCGTTAACTGTAGACATGTCTAGAGTCCCGGGGCAAACGTTCCATCGCAAAACATTGAAGTAAGTCTGCTCATTCGTAGCGAGGTGTTTGAGCACACTGACGAGCACGACGCACAGCGGGTTCAAGATCCAGATGCAGCAGATGTTCCTTGACGCCAGTCACAATAGCAGATGGAGAGTTCTGTCGAATCTCTACTACGGGTTTAGGAAGTCGGCGGAGACATGTTGGGAATATCTCAAGTGTTTAGGAGCGGGGCGGAAAGGCGCATCTCGATTGCTTATCAGTAAGTCCTTCTAAGCGGCCCGGGCGCTGTGCCGGTGGGGCTCAGCCGCCCGGCGATTGACCAGGAATGCACTCCAGCACTCAAGCTAACATGCAGCTTCTTCGCGCGCATCTAGAGACGGTCCAAGACCTAGTCATACTGGGCTATCTCAAAGTGCGTCATGCCAACCGCAGTTCTCGAGCGAGGCTGATCTGCCGGCGACAAGTGCAATGGTGAGTCGCAAATCGTCAGAAGTGTCAAGTCCGGAAGTGCCAAAAAGGTTATTGTTATTCTGAGATGCGCCGTTGTACGCACGAGCCTTCTTCGCTGTCATGTTCCAGCATGTGTCTATTGTGAGACCACCAACGTAGCAGATTCTAACGGCGTTGCGTAGGGTAGGATACACAGCCTTTCAAGTGGCGTTTCAGCGTCGACAGACACACTACAGCGACTTTCTGCACTGGATCAAGGTGCAACTGGTAATGACAAGGCCAGAGGACATCGCCGAGAGACAAATGGTGCAGAGAGCAGTAGAGGAAGCAGGCTCTTTAGCTCCTCGGAGCTCGACATAGGATAGACTTCAACATGGTGTGGAGCCTCGCAGGATCTATACGGGCGATGGATCTTATGCATATTAATGGCGCTCAGTACTGCGAGGAGACTGGACGTAGAGTATAGACAATTATCTCGATCTATGACGTTAGCTTGACAGAGCGGCGTCGTCAACCTCCCTGTCCGACAGCCGGTTTTGGTTGGCTATTGGATCGAGATGCGTGTTAGACGGCTGCGATCAGGGAACAGACACGGGAAATCTGGGGAGTTCTCCATTCCATTCTGCACCATGTATTGGAGGTGGGACACTCAAGAAGTTAGCCTCGTTGAACTGCGACGGCAATTGGTGAACAATATATCCACCTTGACTGGTGGTGCACGTTGAGGGTTGAGGAATCTCCAAGTACTAACCAGCCACCGCCATATCAAGGTCATAGTGAGACTCCCCAGCCTTCGGACATTTCAAACTACAACTTGCAGCACAAATCCCATCCTCAATCAGCCAGGCTTCCCAGCCTCCCCATTTTGAGCGTGCTGCAGCGCAACTCTGGACCTCGAGTGTGTCGTCTTTGCTCCCTTGCGTGTTGTTGCTGAGTCGAGGCGCGCAAGAGCTATTCTAATACTATTGCGAAGCGCAAGGGCACTGCCAAACGCCCTGCCCGCCTCCCCTCAGTTCCCGAATCCTCGTCGACTCTACAATATCCCCGATTCTCCCCTCACGGCCTGTGCTGTCTTTTGTAATTGCAATTACTGTTTCTCCCCCAACATCTCTCACCAGCATGCTCCGTCTTCAGCGTTCCTAGGTAACCGCACCGTGACCGTGAGGCGACCGGGGATCACGAGTACGCACAGGCTGGTGTTCATCTCAGGCTCAGGGGCCCCACTTGCATCGCCTATAGCTACCAGGCAGTGCCAGGTACCGGAAATGACCTTCACATCTCTGGTTTTGCTCGCGACCGAGCCCCCAGATCACTACAAACACCAATCTCCCACGATCCTGCTGCCCTACTCAGTGAATAGGCCCGACTCCAAATCAATTCTTTGTACCATCGAAGAACTCCACTCGTTTCCACAGCACGAATATGTCACTTCGTTGATCAACAGTGCGCACGCACATTTCGACCTCAAGACCCAGCCACTTTCTCTATTCTCCCCCGAAGCAGCCCTCTCCACGCCAGATTCACTAGGTGCCAGAGCACGTGTACGACAGCTGGTAGCGCCCATGCATGTGTCCAAGATGTCCAGCATGCCTTACGAGGCTGGTTCAGCCTCGCCTCCGGATCTCACAACCTCCAAAAGTTCAAGAGCTAGCAGCATCGTCTCCTCGAACCTGTCCGACATTGCCGGCCCAACCGACATCTCACACTTTGAGGATATTGGCCTGGACGATACCCATCATGGCTCGAGCTCTGTGCTACATAATGGGGGCATGTCGAACGAGATGCTCTATCCAGGCATCTCTGGGCTCTCATCTGGTGCTCAGCGAAGGCTCTTGGACAAGCGACCTTCAATGACCTCATTGAACTCCAGAAGTGGTAGCTTTAGAGACCTCACAAATTCTGCCAAGCGGCCTGCATATCCTAATCTGCAAAGTCAAGTCAATGGAGCCATGCGAGAACCGTCCCTTGGGCCACCAGGTCGCGTGCGTAGAGGCTTCACCACTTCTTCAACTTCGCTGCCTATCCATGCTGTGCATCGATCGCGTTCACCTTCACCTGCCGGGCAGGTTCAACCTTTTCGATCATCCTCTCGTGGCTCTACCTCGTCCCGCCAGAGTTCTAGTTCGACTGTAGGAGCATCGCCATCCTTGAGCTTTAGTCGTCGAACGTCATGGCAATCAACGCGTCGGAAATCTGCACAGGAGCTGGAGGCTGAATACGACGAGAAAGAGAATGATGACAACGATATACCCGATGACGCATACGTAGTCAATATTCCCATCTCTCCGCGGATGCCCTACGATCGAACCCCCTCGCCGAACCCGTCCCGAAGTGGATCGCCTTCACGCACGGCACTGAGTCCATACCTAAGCCAGAGAGCTTCTGCCCCTGCTTCGTTTCCGGATTCAAAGACATATAAGCACACTTCTCTGAGCGCCAAGACTCCACCTATGGAATCTTTAGATGAGGTTCCACAGCCGTCACGAACAACATCATACTCATCTGTGCTATCTGCATTGGACGATGATGCGCGCGTCATGACTGCTGCGTTGGAAGAGCATGCCACGGAGAAAGAAGCACAGCGCGAGCTCGAGATCCAGCAAGGTGCACGACCTATCTCAGTAGAGAAGCGGGGCTCGTCGAGCAAGATTCAATTACCCCCGATCCAAAAGCCAAGCATGATGATGGACCCTCTGCCCATGAGCAAAGAAAAAGAAGCAGTTTTGTCTCGAACGCGGCCAAGCCATCTACCGCCGAAGTCCAAGGAAGAGGAAGCGAAACATCTACGAGAATACAAGAAAATCATGGCAGCCGCGCAAGAAGCAGGTATGGGACCCTACTAACGCCTCAGAGACGTAGCTGACATGATTATCACAGAGAAGAAACGAATGTCGAAGCTGAAGGCTGATCTTGAGAACAAAGACATCGAGGAAGCCTCCAAAGTTGGCATATGGAAACATCTTATCATACCGAATTGGAAGGACTTCCGCGAAGATCGGCGTGTTCGTGAACTATGGTGGAAGGGGATTCCTCCTGCTGCCCGTGGTCGCGTCTGGGCAACGGGTATCGGTAACGAACTGGAGCTCACCCATGATAGCTACTATCGCGCTCTCAAAAAATCGACTGAGCAATTTCGCTTGAACAAGGGCGAAGACATCGACCAACCGGTTATCAAGAGATTAAACCGTCTCATCGAAGACATCTATCCCACCGAAAAGCTCTTCCAACATGGTATGCCATGCAATCAACCCCTACGTGACGTTCTGATGGCATACTCAATGTACCGCCCGGATGTCAGCCTCTTTCCTGGCATGGCTGTAAGTTTATTTCTTACAATTCCGTCCAAATATTAGAACCCGTGTTGGTGTTTGTCCGAATACCATGTTTTTGGTGTACCGTTTATGTCTCGCGTATCAATTCTACAATGCTGACTACTTTAGAACCTCGGTGCAATCTTTGTACTCAACCTAGACCAGCCAGATGCCTTCATTGCGTTGGCCAACATTCTCAATCGTCAAATGCCCATGTCAATTCTTCTTCGCGACGCTACGCGCATTACGAATGCGTATGAGAACGTTCTCAAGCTCATGCACATCAAGCTCCCCACCCTATACACACATTTGTTCGAAAAGCTGCGCCTCCACCCCGATGAATTTCTTGGCACCATGTTCGAAAGCCTTATGATTGGACGCATGAGTGTAGACAATGCGTGCCGCATTTGGGACGCCATGGTCTTTGAAGGCGATCGAATCTTTACACGTGCTGCCGTTGGTATTCTGAGTAGCCTAGAAGCACAGCTGTATACCGACAAAAATGGTGTACTGGACATTCTCGGTCGTCAAGCCGGAAACGGTACACTGCTCAAGGAGACACCCGACGATTTCGCATTTATGGTCCGTGCGGCAGCGAAGATGAAATAATCGATACGGCACGGATCTGAACCGTCTCGGATGGCCACATCCACCACATAGGCAAACCGTCGACCGGCTCGCCCAGATAGCCGTAACGCCTCAATTCTGTACATATACATCAGTTCTCTCCCTCCCCCGACATGGAAACAACCGGACGACACAAACACAGCGACGTATATTCATTTCTAGTTGATCTAGTATTTACTGCATAATTGCCCACGGCGGACGGTACACTTTGAATCTTTTCAGCATCTGTACAGAGTACAGTCACAATAGGGCATCTCGGGAGTATCCCAAGGGGGATTTTTCTTTCTTTCAAGGCGCAACGGGAATATAGAAGGATAATGGTGAATGCACATATAGAGGCTGAGTGACACGTTACTCTTATTATGAGTTCGTGCATACGGACGGTATTGAAGGCAAGGGCTGGTATTGTGATTGCAACAACTGCTCTGCAAATGCCATTGCAAAGGACATGAGTCAGATGATTCGTAATGAATGAATGGAATGAAAAACGAGAAATTGTAACTTCTCACATTTGAGTTCGCTGTCTAGGGTTTCCTCTCACACCTTGTCTTGATAAGTGAGCCCTTTTGATGAATCCTGGCAGTCACGTCATGTGATTAAGAGTGAAGACAGTGCATCGCCCAAAATATACTACAATAGGATGTTTGCTCTTTCAGACTGAGTCCAGGCTTGAAGGTCTATACAAAGCTCACACAGCCTGTTGTAAGAAGTCGTGCCTCCTAACCCAAATGTTGGATGTAGAGCCAGACTCGTAACCGTCCGCGGCACAATAGACTTGGATCGATATCATGCGAGTGGACGTACGTCTTCGATGGGTTTCATCGTCGTAAGCGCTGCGCTGCGCTGCTTTGCGTGTAATGATTCTCTTCTGCTCCCTCCGCCAGTTGCGCAGTACTCCACCCAAATCCGATGCAGCGCAGCCTACCTAGCCAGGCAGGTAATTAGGCGTGCTAAAATATTAACTTCCAGGTCCCCGGGTTCAGCCAAGCCCGCATGATGAGATAGCTGCAAACCTACTGGCCCAAACCCACCCGCCAGAGCCCCCTGCACACAACCGTGCACGCTTCTCTGTGGTGCGCCTGCCTAGGGGCCGGCCCACTCTGCCAACCGCCGTCGCTCCTCCCACACACACACACCCACACTTCCTTTTGCAAGCTCTTTATATTTTACTCAACTGCAGCAGTCTTCGCCTTCGGGCATTTGGTCAATTTGAAACGATACAGAGAAGATTAGCATGGCCCCTGCACTAAGGATGACACGCTTAATCAAAGAGAGTAACACATTTTTTGGAGAATTTTTTGGGGCGCTGTTCGAGTCTGCTGCTGTGCAGGCTTCTTTTTGGGTTTTTGACTACTGCTTAAGTAGAAAGAGTGCTGCGTGGAGTTGGGTTGTGTGGTATATGGTTTTTTTTTTTTTGCTTGGTAGGTGGGTTATGGGTTTGCTGGTGATTGTTTGATGGGCTTTTTTGGGGGGTTTATTGCGGTGTTGTGGGTGAGCTGCTGGATTGTTGGGTTGCTGATGCTGGTGATGCTTGGGTGAGGGTGGGTTGAGGCCTGAGGCCTGAGCGCATGGTGTTGGTGGAGTCCTTAGGATTAAGCCTCAGCACGATAATCTAGAGTATTACTTCCTGAAGCAAGTCTCTAGATTATATCGTTTCAGTCATACGTCGCTAATAAGTATTCAGGATCTAGAATCTCGCTGCTGAAGTCGTGATTTCGGCGAGTGCTCCGTGGAGGCCTGCCTCAGGCATCATCGCTGCCTCTTGGTGAGATCTGGTATCATCGTCGTTTCCGACGGATGCTTTTGCGGTTCTCATATCTTTCTTTTATCGCTAGTTTGCTCATAGATCTTGATTTCACATCCAGGTGGTTTTGATGTCGTCAATCGTATCTTATTCTCTGCTGTGTATTCCTTGTTGTTCCAGGAATCCAGGTCCAGTCATTGGGTACGAGGTATTCGGCGTCAAGACTTTGCTTCCGCATATTACTGTTTCTATCCCTTGATACATAGTGTTTCTGATGTAGGGATGTTGTGTTGGGGGTATGATTGCTAGTCACTCTTTTTCTCTTGCAGCAACTCGGTGGGATCGATCATGATCGTTTGCGGTTCGGTCTGTACTCGGTTTGTTTTTCGTACTCTTTGAGACTTGTTACAATCTTTTACGTGGTGGCTAGGTGTCGTTGTGTCTCTTTGTTTAGGTCTTTCTGGAACTTTGTACAATGACTTGCGAGTCAGTCTTGAGTGATGTGGTGTTTATATGTCGCTTTCGAGGAGTGTGTTCTTGGGTTCTGCCTGATTCTGTATGACATAAGTGGGTTATTCAAAGGAATGTTCATCTCATTGGACAAAAACACCTGAGGGTAGGTCTCATCATCGTCCTACGTCATCAGGAGAATCTGCTGCGTAGATCGGTAAGCTAATGAGGTACACTGAAGGTACCTGAAGGTACAGTGGATGAGTAGCATACAGTGTCTATATGAAGTCTTGTAGACACTGCTTTTGAACGCAGGGCTGGTCACTGGTCGACTTTTCTAGTCTCTTTCTTGCGTTGTTGTGTGTTCTTCTTCTTTTGTCCAGTATCCTTCGTCGAGTGATCTGTTGTTGAACGGATGTTTCTTTACTGGCATTTTGAAGCTCATGAGAAGCTATATTCCGGTCGTCGTGTGCTCTGCTTGCCTAGGAAACATGGTCTTTGACGAGTATTTGGTTTCATGGTTTAAATGATAGCTTTTCTTTGAACCATTGTCTGGACTGCAATGAAAGTATGGAAGAGTACGATCTTGCTTTCTGATTCTTTGATATCGTCAAGCGTGATGCCTGGTGTTTGATTGGTAGACGGGATAAGTCAAGATCTGCCAGTGAAAGCCTGTCGTGTGATTTTGTGATGAAGGTGCCTCTGTTTTTCTGATCTGTTTTCGAGGGCAAAAGGGGTCTGGATCCTTTGCTCTGGCATGCCACTTGTATCTGGTCCATGTCACAGTAAGTGCTTGGAGAAACACTGCTCAGACGAGCTCGTCGAAGTTGTGATGTCTGTAGAAAAGATGCTTTCGAGGAGCTAGCTCAAGGTGATGCTGTTTCAGGAAGAGATATCTGAAGTATTGACAGTGAACATTGTCTTGGCGGACATTTCCTTACCGCTAGACGCACACATAAAAGCACACACAATTTCACTTCCTCTAGATTTCCTCCAACAAGCAACACACTTGAAATACATCAACTTCAAGGAAAACGTTATATCGTAAGTTACCCTACTCATTCCAGGCATAGCCAGTAGAGCTTCTGGCAATTAAACCCTACTATCAATCTGTACTGTAAGCTGATCATCGCTGTAAACAATAGATCTTCACTACCACACACACTATATCCACAAGATGGCCAACAACTCCTTGTCAACTGCCCGGGCCTCTGAGCCCAAAAGTCAGCCTCCTAACACAGCTTTACACGGTTTACAATACTAATGGCCCAAGAACCTTCCCTTCCCACCCCTCCCCCAAGATCTCCCGTCCGCCGTGCTCCAATGGGCACGGAGCCCACCATCACCACCTCTGATGGATGGGTACACATCACCCTCCGCCCTGCCCCCATCACTGCTCGGCCTTCGAGGCCTATGTACGATAGAGTCCGGGACCGCCGATGGCACCTTCAAGGCTCCCGAGTTGGGCAGAAGTCCCGTGGTCAAGAGCCACAGGACAATGCGAGTGAGGCGACGACGGAGTTGGACCCGGAGGAGAGGAGAGAGAGGGAGGAGGAGGGCGGCTCTGAAGAGGCAGAGAAGGAGAGGACGGTGTACGGGGGTGAGGAGAAGGTGGTTGGGGATGGAGAGAAGGAGGTGAGAAGGGAGATGAAGTGAGGGGGGAGGCGGTGGTGGGCAGGTAGCAGAGGCATAATTTGTATAGCCAAGAGAGGATTTGGCAGTTCCTGCGGAGGGCTTGTATCATTTTCGTACCACATATCATACATGATGTATAAATACCATCATCTTGCATCGGTTTTGGGAAGTGCTACTCGAGCTCAAACTGGATTACGACCGGCTGCATACTGTGTAAAACTTGTATCCAGCCGCCAAATTCGTGATTCAACTTGCGTAAGAAAGCTGGAAAAGTTGGAGCCAGACGTCTATTTGAGGACTTCACTCACGCAACAGACCTAGATTACCTGGATCCAGACGCCACTTCAAGGATTCACGTCAGTCAGGAACACCAGAAGTGTGAGAGTCATACGCACATTTGAGACTCCCTTGGGTCTGAAAGACTTCTAACGCGAGAGGGTGGGTCAATGCCCATTAGAAGGTCTGTTGCATCGCTGCTTGCTACTAAGATGAACAGGACGTAATCACAGAAGATGTGGAAGGAACTACTCTCGTTGTTGTTGCAGGAAAGTTCTATGAGTGAGGGACATGGCTTCCTAAAGGGGACTAGTGTCCCCACGGTTAAATAGTCTTCTTCTGAGTCTCTCTGACTTAGTTCTCTACACACTTTTACAATACACTTTGAATGCCTCAATTACTTCATTCAAACTTCCTCGAATAGGTTATGAGCCCGGCTCTTCACTGTAATAAGCCCTTCAGAACCTCATTTTCCTCCTTATATTGATGAAAACTCTCTACTTTGATGGAAGCAAGCCTCACCTCTGCCTCATCAAGATTTTACTTCATTCACACTTCCTCGAATAGTTGTAACACTAGTAGTTAGCGTTGTATACTTGAACCGTCTCTTACAGACTCAATTTCTACTCAATACAACAATTTCTTAGAACAGAAAGAAAGATACAGTCACAGATAGCGTGAGTGGCGTGGCACCGGTGTGCCCGTGGAATGGAATGGATGTCGACACAGCGCTGAAGTGGTACTTTCACATCACGTCTTCGACGCACGTACCACAGAGTGGATCATCTGCCATGGATTCTCTTTGTTTGCTTGGTATGATATTCATTAGTGACAAAGTAAAATATAGCTAGTATCTATACGTGTATCTTTGTATAGATATCTATATAAAGATAACAAATACCGAGTATAAGAGGTATTATAATACTTCTTGTTATTGAGATGATATTATAGGTCCCTAAACTATGTAATATTAATAGAGCACAATTTATGTTACCAACGCTACAAAGGTCAAATGGTATCCAATCCACGCTAACTAGATCTGTAGACGTAAGTCGGCATCAACGAATTTTGCCGACGTCGTTTCCTCTTTGTAGTACATCTTCATATACTACACACGCCGGATAACCGACAGGCTTGCAGAGGCTCAGTCCTTGTTTCTCCTTATACTGGCGACTTTTATCCATGGCATCAAGAATTGTTGTTGAGCTACCTCCAGGTATAACATGTGAAGATCTGATCGGAGGAGGTACCTCTGGATTGGCCGCCTTGATACCTGGCACCGAAACAGTGATTAAGTTCTATCATGGCGACTCCGACGACAACGAGCGGTGCAAATTGGAGGCCGCGATTTACGAACACCTCAGCCAATCGAAGATAGAGAGGCCACCCTCGCTTCTGACATACCAAGGCAAGAGTAAATGTGGCAAAGGAATACTTCTTAAATACGCAAGGAACAACTCAATGCGGCGCTTTCTCAGCGTACCCGAGAATTCCGTATCCCATACTACTATATTACGCTGGATCGAGCAGACTACACTTGCACTGTGTTTCCTCCATCAGAATCATGTCGCTCATGGAGATGTCACTTGTGATAATCTCTTCTTGGACGAAGAATACAACGTGCACCTTGGGGACTTCACAAGTGCGACCTGGCCTCTGACAGATGAGCGGAAAACCGAAGACATGTTCGAGTTGGGACTTGCGTTTTACGAAATGTCAACCGGAATCCGACTCTATCATGGGCTGTTTCTGAATCCAGATGAGAAGATGGAGAAGATTAAGCACAATGGACTACCTGATCTGTCAAGGATAGAACCGAAGAATGTCGCGGATCTAATTGCCAATTGCCTTCAGTTACATCACAAGGACGCGGAAGAGATACTGAGCAGCGTGAGGCATATGTCTCCCTGATTCATGTTGCTGCCTCGACATGCATGAGTCACACTTCCGTAGGTAGTATCCTTACTTCTCAGCTTAGCAAACACGAGCTGAGCTCAGCAACCCAAAGCAAGAAAGTATGTGCTATCAGCCTTGTTGATGATGCTTTACATCGAGAGTATGAATGTTGACTATTGATTCTTGGCTAGTCCGTGTCAGCATTATTCCGCAAGATACTCAGAGAAGCTATTACCACATCCCCAGCAGGTTCCATGAATAGAGCTGGATCCGAGGCACCACGGAATTCTCTCGCCTGGATCGCACGGAACAATATGCACCTTCAGCTTCGTATGGTTTGCGTCCGACCTCTTGCACTCACGGTATTTTACCATGTGCTCATAGTATTTGCACATATCAAGATAGTATGGGACTGAGATGTTGCTGAGAAGGACCCTGAGAGGAGGTGCACCATGCAATGTGCCTGAATAACGAGGAGTTTATATATGTCTGGGTCTGCCTTATAGCGACTTCCGACAGGCGTAGAGAAACCGCGTACTGTTAGGATTCTGTCACTGTAGGTCATTCTTCATAATCAGAGACAAACAGCGAACGAATCACGTCTTTATCTTCAGAGACAAGCAGCCAGTAATGATAAGCAGGCAATTACTCCTTTCCACCTGTTTGGATCTTCGCAAGCTTGCCATGGAGGGATCTAGCACCAACGCATGTCAGTCCTATGGCTGTCCTAAGATCTACATGTCTCAGTGCGTACCGATGGGATTTGTAGTCTCAGCCCTATGAGCACTGTTGCATGAGGTTTGACCGATTATCGCCCAAGGGCAAAATACCAGACCTCCTAGACAGGTTTGCATACCAACGACCACGACCTTGGTCTTGGTTTCACGTAGAACTAAGATACCAAGAACGCTGGAGGGATATGAAGACGAGTACGTCGTTCCAAATCATGATCTGCTACATCTGTCAATCACATGGAGAGGCAGAGCCCGATCGAGTCTGACAACTGTTTGAGGTGATTCCACTCGCAGCAGAACTCGAGCCTCAAAGCTCTCACGGAATGGATCGCGATCTCGGAGCCACTACTAGCAGATACAGAGCTTTAAGACCACCGAGCAGTGGCATGACTACGTGTCCTATGGAATATGGTGTCTCAACCTAGCTCTTCTTCTGGCTATGGCTCGTACTATGCCACGTTCGATCAAAACTTCAGGTCAATCCACAACAAAATACTACCCAAGGCGGTCAAAACCATCAGTCGAACCATCCAGACTATACTCAAGGCAGTTCAGCGTATGCACAGCAGTATGAGTATACATGATGGACCCAGCAGCCACAAGTCTATAGCTACAGTCACTTTGCTGGTTCAGACAAAGACCAGCCTTCACATAACGCTTGAAGGTATACAGCTGCCCAAACGCAGACTTACGCATTGACTTTCTAAGACAATACTCATGGCCAACCCAACAAGCCATGTTTCTGGCGGTCAGCATTCTGCTTCCTCAAACGTTCCAGCCCACATACTGTTGGGATATGCTCAGACTAGTAGCTACCCACAGTACTCGACAGTCCCTGATGCGCAGGGTCTAGCAGAAGCCTAATATATCCCTATGGTGAGCATTGATAAGGTCTAACAGGGAGTCCTCCTCCGACCATGGTTGTGAAACGTATGTACACAAGCTTTGTCAAGAGAACCACAAACCCGACCTGTATATCTACTTGCATATGCTTCGGAACTTATCATGGATTCCGAACGACATGAGAATTGGTCCCGTACGTGGACCCGGAATAATCACCCATGGTCGTAGGCAAAGTCAGGGAAGGCTTCTGATCCCGAAATCGAGCGCGATAGCAGCAAAAATCAGAGCACAAGGGCCAACTACAAATTTCATATAGGAGCTATCTATATAGCTAGTACGTCTAGAATGGAGAAAATTGCTCGTACGGTCTTACCACTAGAATCTTCCCACCCGCCACCCGACACGAACTATCAACACTGTGCCCAGGAAACGAAGGACAAAGGGTGAAGCCATTAGGCTGGCAATTCTGCGTGAAACAATATGGGAAAAAGCCATGTGATGAGAAGATCCTACACGAGGTAGTCTAACAAACAGTGGCACAGAGAACATAGTCCTGCCTCGAGAAGCTTCGACTGCCCACTAGATATCATGAGAGCTTTGCCTCTTTGGCAAGGCTATCATATGGCATCACAACGACTGTTCAATAGTGCTTCCTCCATATAATTACTGTAGCAAACATACTACTTTACTACTCATACGTTAGCATAGAAAGCAGGAACTCGCCAACATGTACCATGGGAACGAATGCCGGACTTGACAACCTCGCCTCCGTCGACTCTAGGATAGACTGGAGAGACGAGGAAATTGCCAGTATGTTTCCTTTAGCAATTCTAAAACCACGAGCAGGGAATTCAGGCAAGCAGTATCAGCACGACGACTGACGAAGGAGACCAAGCCGAACCTAGTGTCAGACCCAGATACAACTCTCCATGAACAAAGGTACACCAATGAATCCTTGAGCATAACACTGTTCGCAGCACACAAAACTCCGCAGAACCATGCCATCATGCTACATTTACCTGCCACCACAGTTCATCGAAAAGCTCAGCATGGGTTGTACTACCATGGCTCGTTCGATGGATAGTCGTCGCAGACTCACTTGCGTCATGGCCGTTATCTCTCTCCCGTGTCGGGGCATGGAATTCTGCACCAAATTCCCATTTTAAACATCGATAAATGAGCCGTGACTGTCTGGTGGTCTGATCCCTACTCTATCGCATCCAATTCATGGACATCCACAGTGCGCGATTTTCAGGGGGGGGCAAAGGACCGATAGGATAGTAATAATGAGGGCATTGAACCAAGATATAGTAATGGCATGCTTTGAAGTTGTATGTGTGTCTGCGGATGGACCCGATGCATTGAACGGTCCCGACGGAATGGCTGCAGTACCACCAAACACGACTCCGCAGTTCCGCTCCCGAACATTTCATATTTCACATTTCACATTACACAGGTCAAGATCATTCAACTGAGACGCAACATTCAATCACGACATAGCGCAGGACGAAAACGTTAAATGCCCCAGTGCGTTGACGGGCGATGCAGTATTGCAAGACTAGAATTACAACAGCATGAAAAGGGCGTCGTGCCCACTACTGCGATACAAATCGCAAAGAAATCTCCTGCCCGGACCAAGCCTGAAATCGGCCATATAACGCCAGTTGATGATCCAAATATGTTGCGCTCGATGTGAGTGCATGCTGGCTAATCTGCTCAATGATACATTAATTGAGACATGTGTCCGCCAGTATTCACAAGATACGCTAACTCTAGCATAGTAACCTCGTAGTAAAATCGTTTAATGTCTTTCGCGCGGTCCGCTGCCATGATTTTCGAACAGATCTTCCAAGTATGCACTCGGCGCTCGGCCCTCTGGAGCCACCGACAGATTGAGGCTGCTGGTGCTTGGGCGTCCAGCGTACACTGAGCGGCTGCGATCACCAGTGTTGACCACACTGCTACGGGAAAAGCTATCGAAGTCTCGGCCACGAGCTGCACGGGGATAACCATCGCGACTAGGAAGTGCTGGAGATCCCGGTGGCGACGGACCAGTGCTGCGAGCACGATTATAACCAGCAGCTGAAGGATTAAGAGATAGCGAACTGGGACCTTGACCGAGATTGGCAGAGCTCCCTGTGGGGGTAGAGTTTCCTGGGGCGTAATAACCTGCTGGAAGGTACGAGGAAGAGCGATTCTGCGATTGATGGCCCGGACCTGCAGTTGGGGAGAAGAAGAGGGACGATGTGGCTCGCTTGCCATTGGAAATGTTTGAGGGCGCGGCACTGAGATGTTTCTTGGCAAGCACGTTTGGCTTATCGAGAGTCAAAGTCGAGCTGGCTGCAACCCCGGAATAAACACCACCGCTTGGTCCACGCAGATTGATCTTCTCGCCCGGATAGTTCACGGCAGCAGCACGTTTGGCCGAGCGATGAAGAGACCAAGCGACTGCACCACGCCATGCTAGTATACAGGCACCAAGGAAGCCAAGCGCAGCACCGACACAAATGAAAACGGTCCCTTCAGGCAAGGAGGACTTTTGCATGTACGGTGCATCAGCAGTGTATGGAACTCCTACCGTGGGGTTCAGTGCCCCAGCGATCGTAGGAAGACCTGTCAAATGAAAAGCACCCGTGTCTGCCGGAGATGGAGGCTGCGATGTAGGCTCGGCTGAAGAGGACGGCGGCTGCGTTGACTCCGGAGCGGCAGTCGACTCTGCGCGTCCAGTGGCATTTGGCACAGTGTTCAGGTCTGGCAGATCATCTTGTGCATGTGTAACTGTCGCGAGAAGAGGGATGAAGGCGAGAGTGTATAGGACAGAGGCGAGTGTCTTCATGTTGAGTATGTGGGCCTATTGACGGGCGGCTAGCGAGCGGCCTGAGAGGTGACAAGGACGAGGCTTAATGGATAGGGTGGCTACGGGGCGCAAGTCTGCGCAATCGTAATAGGTGAAAGACGTAATGATGGCTAGATAACGAGAGTATGCTGAAACGAGTGTGTACAGAGGAGGTGAAGTCGAAATGCTGAGGGGAGGATGCGAGATGCGACTCCTGATGGAGATGACTTTTCGCGTGGCGCGCCGTCTGGGGCGTTAGCGGCAGGGCTTGGGGCAGCAAACAGAAGGCCGTGAGCCGAAGCTTGCTCACTAGAATAAATCGCAGCCTTGCGCCCAAATGAAGTCGAGATTGAGGATGAGATAGAGGATATGGCGAATGTTGAAGTCGACAAGACACGACAGGATGCAGAAGTGTTGTGCTTGCTCAGCCCTGGACAGCTTGTTGGTCACGGCAGGCAAGGGCAATAATCAATTATCATGAGGCAGGGGCCAGCGGACAAGACAGCGAGGCAGGGGCTGGGTGCGTGGCCACAGTCAGCTGCCCGAAGTAGTAATCAGCTAGCTTGATACGGCGCCGGAGCTGCGGCTACTTATTGATTAACCAATAACAAATGACGTACAGGGTCTGGTCCCTGCTGCCTTGTTGTCCTACGGCCTTGCTGCCTTACTGCCCTGTCTCCTTGGTGCCTGAGGCTCAAACGTCTCATCAGTGCCGATCCTCCGACCTGCCGCCCGCGTCCGAAAATTTATGGCTATCTTATCGTGTATTGATCTGTCAAGCTTCAATTTCACATCCACACGTCAGCTATGGGTGTCGCTAAACGTACGCGCAAGTTTGCCCAGGTCAGTATTACTCGCTCAGCTACTCTCTGGAACTACTACTAACCTTTGACAGACCAAGCGCATTATTGGCCAGCGGGACATCCGACTGTAAATTGCATAAGCTCTGCGCGCAACTTCGGCCTGCTTCGCTAACACTAACCAGTAAGAAGAATCAACTCACCGGCGCTGATGCCTCAAAGAAAAAGGACGATGAACTTGTGCGAGAGATGTGAGGTCCAATGTAAAGTCACAGCGTGAACAAACACTGACCACTGGACTGTAGACCTCAAGCTCCAACTTCGCTCTTCTTCCAAGCCAATACCGCCCTTCAGCCTCCGTACTCAATCCTAGTCGATACCAACTTTCTCTCACATACCGTTCGCGGAAAGCTCGATCTTCTCCAATCTCTGATGGACTGTTTATATGCGTCTGTCACACCCATCATCACCGATTGTGTCATGGCTGAATTGGAGAAACTGGGGACCAAATATCGAATTGCGCTCAGGATTGCCAGAGACGAGCGATGGGAGCGATTGCATTGCAGCCACAAAGGAACATACGCCGACGACTGCATCGTCGACCGGATTCTGAAGCACAGAGTCTACCTGGTTGCTACAAACGATCGAGATCTGAAGAGGAGAATACGCAAAATTCCGGGTGTCCCGATCATAAGCGTAGCGAAAGGAAAGTACGTCGTTGAAAGACTACCCGACGCTCCCGAGAAATAATCTTGTCTGCGCAACTTTTGGATACTGCATTGTACGGCGCTTCGGCATAGGGTTACTGGCGGAGTTTGGCAGGAAAATTCGAAATTTACGAGATACACCATAGAGTTATGTTATCATCAATGCCTCAACGACAGTCTTGCCATCTGATCTGGACTTAAACTGGAACACTTAGGAGGAGGCGCACACGTCAACAGCAGGTGTACGCAACTACCCGAGGCACCCTAGAGATGAAAATGTCTCTAGCGAGCACTAGTGATGTCGGTATAGATACAAAGGAGATAGGAGAAACTGATGTTATATTCGCCTCAAACGAAATACGGGCCGTCATCATTCTTCGGTTCAATGAAAGTTGGAGCTGTATCTAGTCACGTGATAGTGTGGGCTGATGGAAACATTGAAAGTGTCTGATAGCAGACTTGCTTCTTAGCTTGATTAAACTGCATTAGGCATCTGGTCATGATGAGGCAGTGGTATTTGATAGACTGGTAGAGGCAACGTGGACCATGGACGACCTCAATATCCCAGGCCACAATCTAAAGGATGACTACAAGTGGTTGACCAGGAATTCTCACTACTCTCTAAGTCAAATCCGCATTATCGACAGAATCCTGCTTGCGATATGCAGCGCCTATAGGAATACGTGACAATCTACTGAGCAATGTAGGGCTAAGGTTGTCTATGCATCCTATACCTCGATACGTTGGTATCACGACGCCGCATTCTTTCTTCATCTAGACCCTCAACGCAGGTCGTCTCAGGCTTTAGACAGAAGCCAAAAAGATCTAAGTGACTCGAGAGCAGTTGCTCCTGTCTACTTATTCGCCCGTTTCAGCGTACGGCTTGTTCAGCTGGTTGACAAGATGTTGAATTATGACTGCTTCAGGCTGTTACGTGTCAATTCCAAGGCCTTTTCACATCTTTGACATGCACTAGCGTCATGAGTGGACTGTTGGCTTGAGCCATATAGGTCGCATGTTCTTATAAGACGTAGTAGAGTTCAGGACTAGGATAGGTCGATCCAGAGGTGCAGAGGCTGATCAGACCATGTTTTTCTGCGTGTATCCTATCACTATATCTTTCCCCTATTTTTCCCTATTTCCTTGCTTAGCTTGACTGATGCTCTCCTGTTGACATATCATCAGTACGTTCACTCCAGTCTAGCTAAAGGTCTCTGTTTCACTCCTCCATACTAAATTTCAAAAAACGCTTCAACCCTCCTGAACAAGCTCGTGACATTCTCACCATCATCCACGCCCTCGATGTCACGAGATCTTCAGTGTAACTACATTTGCGTCGAATCTTTGGCGGCTGAGGGAGAATAGGACGAATGTGAGGCTATTCATGGGTGTACGGAGTAAGAATATTCTCGGGTGCGTGAGTGGATATGATAGAGTATCTGTCTCGCGGCGAGCAGTGACGAAATTAAGCCATGCTCTGTAGGTGCCCTTGTAGATAGTCTTTATGGTATCTTTCGGTATCGTATGAAACAAACGTAGCTCAAGACATGTTCAAAATTCTACGTATTCACTAACAAACTTTTGAGCATCGACATAGGCCAGGTCGATATCATTCGTGGGCGCTGGGAAGAAACCATGTGGGAGATCCGGAATCCCATAGAATCCAACATCGTTCTCTGCTATCCTCGTCATTTTCGACGCAAACCTAACTTGCCGAAAGTAATGTCTCTCCGTGGCTCCTGCACACATCCACATTGGTGTCACTGTCTTGAACGGATGTCGAATAGTCGACATATACGGGTGCTCTGGCGGAAACGTCTCTGTAGGAAGCTCGCGTAAACTCCACTGTATCAATGCGTCCGGAATGAGATCTTTGTCGGTGTTTGGCCTTTCGAATGTGTCGACCATGTCTACCCATGGAGACCAGAGAAGTGCTGCTGCAGGAGATGGGAGGTTTGCAGCAGGGGTCTCTACGATGTATCTGAGTAGTGTAATAGCAAGGTGACCTCCAGCAGAGTCTCCAGACACCATGATTCGACGCGGGTCAACGTTCAGATCTTCCAAGAGATAGCGGTACGCAGTGACCGAGTCTTGAAGCGCAGCTGGGAATTTACCACCTGGTTCATTGGCCAGTCGATAATCCAGCGCGAAGACCGGAGCATTGCCAAAGTTCTTGCTGAGCCTATTACAGCCTGTTCCTGCATCGGCTATTCGGGCGCTCCCAAGTAGGAATGCACCTCCGTGGATGTGGAGGACTACAAGTTTTTGAAGATCTGCTGCGCTGGGTACATCGGGATACCAGACAGCTCCAATGTTGGTGGGTACAATGGCTGGATCCTGGGACAATATGCCGGGATACTCGGATGAGGGCTTGATCGTTACGAATCTATTACCCTCTCTACCTGGCGCGAGAGTCCGATGCACTTTCACCTCCACGACACCTGCGTCGTGTAAGTACCAATTGAACGCCTTTACGATGATAGCTTTTGTGTAGCCATATCGACTGTGTTGACGGAACGATGGTATGATGTAGAGGATCATCAGTAGTGGAAGACGGACTAATTTGTCGGCAATGAAGATAAGTGTATAGAGCCCCTTCATAGGTTGCTTTGTAAAGGTTCCGGGCACCATTCTTTCTGCTGATTGAATCAACGACTACGGTCTACCCATTACTGGTCAATTCATTGACCGCATACTCATCGTAACGTTGCAGAAACTATTCTGAGCAGTAAGGATGAACTTACCGATGTAGGAAAGGATTAAAATCAAAGGTCACAGGGAGCAAACGTAGTTTGTGCTGGGAGATGAATTCATGGACATGTACACAGAGCTGGCCTTGGGTTTCCACCAAGTTCCACCTTTTAGCTCAGCCTAGCTTAGTTGGTGCATCCATCGAATATACTTCGCCATACTTTGATAAGCGTGCTTGCATATATAGTACAGACAGACGAGTGGAGAGACCTAATTTAGTGCAGTTAAACGAGCTCGCACTCGCAATCTAAACCATTCAGCTGACAAAGACTTGTATCGCAATGGGTCAACATACTTAATGTAGTACGTAAAGGATTATACGGAACTTCTTTCGAGGCCACGCTGACATGTGGAGCTGAAAGTTGGACATCGCATCTTGGCAGAGGAATGAACGAATGAACCATCTATTTCATCAATCTACGCCCCAACTCCAATCCTCCTAGGTCCATATAAAAAGAATACACGTAAAGCTGTCCACAGACCTGACCCACCTATATCGAAATCTTGCTCAGAGCGTCATCAAGCTGTCTCTCATGGAACCCGAAGTCAAGCACGTCGTGGACTTTTGGTTCAACCGCCCTCCCATGGAATGGCTGATAGCGCCCAAAGGACTCGACGAGCAAATAAAAGCGCAATTCAGCGACCTCGTATTGAAAGCCCGCGACGGCAAGCTGGATCACTGGGCCGCAGAGCCCGAGTCAAGTCTCGCACTCGTCGTCCTGCTCGACCAATTCTCACGAAACCTGTTCCGTGGCTCACCAGATGCATTCAGCGCCGACGGGAAAGCACTAGACGTAGCCACGAGAGCAATCGCGCAGGACTTCGACAAGAAGGTTACCGTCATCCAGGCCTCTGCGTTCTACATGCCGTTCATGCACCAGGAGAGTGCTGTCACGCTGACTGCGGCCCGCTGCTTGTTTGAGGCTTTGAAGGCTAGGTGCGGGAGTGAGGAGGAGCATAAGTGGGTGGATATGGGGGTTCCTGCTTCGAAGGCGCATATGCAGCAGATTCAGCAGTTTGGAAGATATCCCACGCGAAATGCACTGCTAGGTCGAACGAATACCGCCGCAGAAGAGGACTTCTTGAGAGAGCACAAGTCGTCTATCTGACGCGGCCTGCGAAGTCAGGACAGATATTCGGCTCGAGTTCGAAATTGGGGTTAAACCTTGCAGAGTTTGGATCGCACGCATCATGTGTCATCGTAATAGCCAAGTCTAATCGCAGGAGTTAAATCTAGAATACTACAGGAACAAGCAATTATCGTGTCAAGACTACTGCAAAGACGTCTCAAACACTAACATCATGCGGCATGCCATATACGTAATGCTATACACGACTCATTGCTAATAGCTCGAGCCTTACTACTAAAATTACCCTGTAAGTCGAAGCAGAAATTGCTCTTGTATACTGCACTCTGTATAGTACTGTCGAAGTCGTACGTGGTATACGTGGAAGTGTCTCAGATGCTAGCCATAGGGCACGTCAAGCCTTTTCGAGATGGTGGGCTGTATATTCTTGGGGAGTAGAAATTATCTGTAGATACTTCGTCAACAGACCGTTTAGATTACCGTTCAAGATCTAAACACACGCAACAGCAGATTAGATTATCAAGAACAGATGGAGTAGCACGACTTCTGGCCCTCGGACTCGGTTTTGAGTGGTCCAGTGTGTATACGCCCCTGGAAACTGGATTATTAGGCATTTCGATCGGTCTGGAAACCCAAATAAAGTCTATAAGCATGCTCATACTAACTGCTCTCACCGTATACTGAAAGAGACACCGAAAAAAAGAAACCACGAATACACAAGAAAAGAAACGAACAATCAACAAACTCCAACTCTTGCCATCCGCACCCTCACATCAAAAGCACCCCCTCATATATCCGCTCCAACAGACCCGTGTCCATCCGCATCACTCGATGCATGCTTTCACCTGTCAGTCTTCGTTCCTCTAGCTTCTGTGTAAAGCAGTCATAGTCGACCTCCTCGAGATACATGTAGCCGGTCTCGCCATCTTCGTGGCCGGTCCGACAAGGTCATCGTCACGCCTTGCCCTCTTCTTGCGCCCAGAACATGCCGTGGGCCTTGCTGGAGCCTTCTTAGCTTGCTGCAACCTTGTATTGGAAGACGGCCTGTCGTGCGTCTCAGTATCTCTTGCCACCTTTGTTGCCTCTTTGCTGATGAGACCGCTGCGTACGGGTTTATTAGGCTTTTGTGTCTGGGCTGGGGGCGGGAGGCTGTTGCCGGCTGCGTTGCTACCTTCTGCGCCCTCCATGCCAATATGATGCTCGTCTACAGTCCTGTGCGGTTCTTCGTTTTCCTCCCTGTGAGCAACTTCGTTCGCTGATGGGTTGTTCTGTGTCGTGTTGTCCTGATCAAGGGGAATTTGCTCCTCTGGCTGCGTCCTCGGAGTGTTGTTTCGTGGCTGTTGCGGGAACTCCTTACAGCTGGAGCATACATGTACAGAGTTTACAGTTCGACCTAGATTTTTCGGATCCAGCATGTTTTTGAGGCAGGAATAGCTGCCCGCTGGACATTGAGGCTTGGCGTAGTCTTGTAAGCTCAACTCCTCGACGCCACGCGTCAGTCCAGGACTCTCTGGAGACAAGTAGATTTTGACAGAAGAGTTTTTATTATCCTTAAAGTACAAGTTGTAAACAGTTCCGGCGCTTCCATTGTTATTTTGCGGACAGTCCAGCGGGAAATTCGAGATGACCGGGAGCTGACCGGTCCTGAGCGGATTGTCGTTTGCTTGCGGCTGCGGGATACCGTTCTGGTCCCTGTCTTCTCCTTGTTCTCCGCCATCAGAAAGCTGGGCTGTCCCGGGCGTTAATTGCGACTGCTCATCTGGGGATGTGGCGTGTGAGATCGAAGTACATCCTTCTTGCGGGTTGGGTGGAGTTCCATAGGTGAAGTCATACGGAACCCCAGGTCCAGGACTTTGGGGCTCTTGGTTCCCGGGCGAGAAAATT